CAAAACCTCAAAGACTGTAACAATGTAGCACTTGGAAAAAGAGGCTGCTGTGTACAAAAACAAGCATGCTTTTGTTTTAGGGGTGGGAAGGGGTTTATATTTATCCATGTCCTTTTCTTCTTCCACCATAGCATAAAAGAAGAAAGTACCAGTTTATTCAACAGGATAGCTCAGGAAAATAAGGAACAACATGCTTTCCCTGTTACAAAACTACCAGAAGATGCATGCACAAGGTCCAAAACACAACAGACTGACATTTTTTAGCATGCAGACTTTGTTTTATGACCCACATAGCACTTCCCTTCCCCTGCCCCTCTCAAAGATAAGGTTTATGCCTTGTATTTTGCTCTCCCATTAGTTTGTTCTTTTGTTTTCTTTTTGTAATGACTTATTTGCCTTTTTTTTAAGCCCTAAATCCCAGCTAGCGGTATCCAAGGTAACAGCAGTAAGGAGTCCAGATCTCCACACTATCACTGTTTCTGCAAGTTTCAAGCAAAACTTAAGCCATTTCTGTGTGCAACACAATGCTGGTCATTTATTGTGCTTTACACAGCTCTGGGGTGGTTTTCCCATTCGCCACCACATTTTGTTGACTGGGAAGAACAGGTTTGCTTTCCCATGGACACAGAAAGATTAAAAGACCCCTCCCCCACTTCTCACTCCCCCCAGTTGCCACAAACACATGAGAATTTGCATCTCAACACCAGGTCCAGACAGTTCACTTGCCTACAAGAGCCCGGTGGCTTCAGTAAAGTCCCATTATTGCAGCGCCCACGTCCTTAGAAGGTCTTCGGTCTTTCACCAGAAAGTTAATCATGCTCTCCGACTTGATGAGCAAGTTGCAGCCCAAAAAGAAGATGCCAAACATTACAGTCAAGGAGAGGACACAGAGGACAGCAATCTGCACCACCCTCATGATGAAAAGGCTCCTCTCATCAGGTGCCAGGACCAAGGAGCTTCCATCAGTCGCCAGCACTGTGCTGGTCCCATTGCAGCAGGCCATGAGCATCCCCAAGCCCTGAGTCCTGTTGGGGTCAGCTGCCTGCTCCAGGAGAGTCTGGTTGAAAAAGGATCCATTCATGGTCTGTGTGTGACCCCAAATCTTCAGGGAAAGTAAAAGGGAAGCTTGTTGTCCCCCTGTCCACCCTTCACAAGCCAGGGTTTGGCAGCTCCAAGCAACCTCCTGTCTTTCCTCTCTCAGTGCCCAGGGATGGAGAGGGAACTTCCTCAAGGCTGTGAGCAGGTGGGAAGCCAGTCCGTGCAGCCGACAGATGTCTGGATCCCGATCTCTCCTAGCAGAGCATTAGCATGAGCCCCCAAACAAGCAAAAGGAGACAGAGAGAAAAGGAGAAAGGGAGCTGGGGGAGAGGATGGCAGACGGGGATCACCCCATGCCCCCTGCCCTCCCAGCCTGCTCCCAAAACAGTGAAGCAGTACTGCTGGATCCTGAGGTTTCTCCCGGGGGAAGGAGAGCTGGTGTCTGCCAGGGGGGAGCTCCACAAATGCAAGTTACAAGCTAAAGTCTTCACCGTGCTCAAAGAAAAAACAGCAACTCCACCCCCTTCCAGCCTCTTCCCAGGCCCGCCTTCCTCCCCCTCCACATTCACCCTGCTGCCCACCCCTTCCCCATGCTGCATACCCCATCTCTGCCTTGCCATAGGTGCCTGCACACACCCCTGTGCCACCCCAGGTGGGGGCTGAGCCCTAAGGCCCTGCAGAGTTGTCCCTAGCTCATCCCTCCCTCCAGCCCTCCCACCTGCTCCCAAAAGCATCTTGCATGGTGAATGTTTGTCCCGGACTGCTGGCAGGTCCCTGTTCCCCCAAAGGCTCCTGTAAACCTCAGGTCAGCACTGCTGTCACTCTTGCTGCTCCATGCCACCCACTCCTTCTCTGAGCAGCATGGCCCTATCCAGCCAGTCCACCCACAGCTCTGCTTGGTGATTCCTGTCCTGTGCCTCCAGAGAAGAGCTGGATACAGCCCCTCTCTTCCTCCTGTTCCTCTGGCTGGGGGCTTCTTCCTCAGGGCACATGGTCTCCCTCTCCTCCCCTTCTCACTTTAGCTCCTCCAAAGGGAGGCACTGCACCCTGATCTCTGCTCTATCCCCAGCTTTGGGTCCCACAGCAGTGTCACTGCAGCATCCAGGGCCAGAGCATCACAAGCCCCTCAGCCCCACCAAGGCAATCCCAGGGGAAATTTCACCATCACTCCCATCTCCGTGTCTGCATAAGCTCCCAAAGCGACACCATGAGCCAGGGTGTCCAGCTTGTCAGGCTTACTCCTATTCCTGCTCATCCCAAGGCTCTGCCCATAGGACTGCCATGTCCAAGCTTCCTGGCTTTGCCCATTGGCATTTGCCTGGAAATCTGTCTGGACGGCCCAGAGTAGCAGATCACCCCCAAAGCACAGTGTGAGGACTTTGCCCTGGTTTATCCACGTACATACTGGCTTGTTTCCTTTGCCCAACCTTCTAGGGGATTTTAATAAAACAAAAATGACGATTGATGAGTTGTAGCTCAAGTCAGGGACATATGGCTGGCTGAGGGTGGCAGGCAACTTGGCAGGGACAGTGTCAAGTGATCTTCCTTTTAGACAGCTGGGATCCCCTGATCTGCTGCTGTGACTTTACGGGCTCAGACCTGTTCAGTTCAGGGTTTACTTGTTGCATTTTCCTCCTTGTTCTGGATTTGGTATTTCTCTCCAGGTTGCTGCCCACTCTGCTAGGGCAGTTGAAGCAGAAGTTGTGCATGAAGGAGGGGAAAACCCTGATCCAAGGAGCATCTGCTTGTGTTTAACCTGGGACAATCCCACAGGAAATCACAGCATATACCCAGTGCCCCAGCCTGACACTGGGGATCCTCTTCCTGCATGCTCTCAGACTGAAGGACTTTCTGCTCCCTCTGGTGGCTCCAGATCCAGCATCTCCTCTCCCAGCACACCCCAGCATGGATTTGGGCTGCACCCATTGCTCCTGGGTCACAGCCTGTGGTGATGGGTCAGCTAGGGCTCCCAAACACTCCCCTGCTGGCTTCTGCCTTCATCCCACCAGGCACCCCAAAATCTGGAGCATCCCACTGTCTATTATGCAGTGCCTGGAGGTAGCATTGTGGAATCTTGGAATGGTTTGGAAAGAACCTCAAGTCATTCTAACACTCTGTCATGGGCAAGGACATCTGCTAAACCTGTCCAAACTGTCCTTGAACACTACCAGGTATGGGAATTTCACATCCCAGCAATGTTTTCAGGACAAGCAGCACCTTCTTGCAGTTTGCAGGGGAATTCCACCCGAACATCTTGGACTGAGTTAATTCCATCCTTGTCCTCAGGCAGGACCAGCCCAGGAAAGTGAAGACAGGTCAAACACTTCATTTTGTGACTTTTTCCTTTTTCTTTAGCATTTTTGCACCATGCTGAAAGTATCACAGCCCACCCTGGGTAAGGGATTCCAGGACACACAGGGTAATATGTTGTTTGGGAGCAGCAGCACTTGCCAGTTTGGGGAGCCAGGAGCTGGGTAGAATGAGTCCCTGGTGAAGAGAGCCTGGGAGATGGATGGCAGGTTGGATCTGGGGGTGTGCAGAGCCAAACAGGATGCCATAGTCCTCTCTAGACAATAAAGACTAATGTTCCTTTCCATGAAACACTCAGACATGGTCACAAGATGACACAGCACAGCACATGGGGACAGGCAACCGTGTGGGCAGAAAGCTCCACATGATGGGAAAGGCCATATAAGCAGGATGTCAAGGAAGTAAAATAAGGAATTTAGATGCCCTAAAACTGGCTAATGGGGTCTGCCGTGAGATATGGCTCCAGGTTTAGGATTTGTCTTAGCCAAGGTACAGCCATATTTGATACTGCATGAGGGTTGATGGGCTTCTCCTAGTCCCCTTTGCCAAATCTTCATTAACAAGTCCTAGGGAAGCAATTGGATTCCAGTTGGACAGTGATCCCCACTGAAGAGGACAGCAGCATCCTCAAGGTTGGTGAGGCAGTGTGGAGAAGCAAAGAGGGGCCAAAACTTCTTTTAAAGCCAAGGAAAGTCCCCAGGTCCTGAGGAAGAGTCTGTATTGCTACTTCATCTTCACAAAAACTGTTACCTCTTGTGGACAGCTGCCAGGTCTGGGACAAGTGCTGTTGTCCCCATCTCCCAGCATGGGGCTGTGGCTCTTGTACAGCTCTCTGCACATTGTCTCCAGGATGTGTCTGCAGCTCTTGGCACCCACAAAAACTTGTATTCCACAGCTTGGTATTTCTGTGTGCTGGGTTGTCTTGAGCCAGGACTGTGTCATTATTGCCCCCAACCCTTGTCAGCTGGTGGGATAGAGCATCCCAGGGAAATTACTCCAGCCCTTCTCTCCATTTTGCTCCCAATGTGTATTCCAAGTGCCTCAATTTCCCCAGCTTTGACTAGGACCTTGGTATTGCAGGGGAACAAGGGGTTTGTAAAACACCTTCAAGAGACACCCACAGGCAGTTCTGATGCTTCAGTGGGCTCAGTGCCTATGCAGATCCCAATCCCTGGATTTGTTCAGCACAGAATCAATTCCTGAGGACACAGTGGGGAAAAAAACAATACAAGTGAGAAGAAAATCAGGTCCAAATTATGTGACCCCAAGCTGAGCTTCCCTCCCTTTGAGATGTCCAGGTTTATATCCAAACTACTGGCTCCATCAGGTGCACTTCCTGGCTGGGTCTCCCTCAGCTCCCAGCTCTGCTTTAGCAGGGATATTCCCTCTCAGGTGAGGGAGCTGAGAACCCACACTTTCGTATTAATGTACATTTCCTCTATTTCTCCTTGAATCCTTGAACTCCAGCAGTTCAGACGGGGTTTAAAACCAGCTGCCTTTCAATAGTTAACAAAAGGAAGGAGTGAGCAAGGTTTTGTAAGGAATTAAAGCCAGGCGGAAGAGTCTATGTGAAAGAGCCTGTTACGAGCTCCGGGGCTGCAGGTCACCAGTGCCGAGGGAGGACTCGCTGCCAGGGTTTATTTGGTCCTTGTTTAAGCCGAGAGAGCGAAAACCTCATAAAGAGCTGGCGGCAGAGCGGGCGGGGACACTACGGACTCCGAAGTGACGAGGCAGCAGTTTCCTCCAGCCGCCCCACTCGCCGTGTGTGTCATTCACCCAGCCCTGTGATTCACCCCCTCAGCCGCTAAAAACCTCCAGCTACTCCAGAGCCGCTGCCCATCACTCATGGAGGGGCTGGTCCAAGCCGTCCCCCCACTCCGGGGTTCAGACAAGATGGATCAACTTTCCGTGACACTCGGGATCCTGCTGCTCTGCGCTACTGGCAGCTGGGGTAGGTTAACTCTGTCGCTTCTGTCACTGCTTATAGCCATTTAGTGAAGATGTTGCCTGTTACTTCTACAAATCCCAGGACTTTCTGCATTCCCAGGGTCTGTGATTTCATGGGAAAATCACTCGGAGGGGGAGCTGGCAGCCTGAGCTGCAGCGCATTCCCACATAGGAAGCACTGCTCAGGCCGGTTGGGCTTCATCTGGGTCGGGGCCAGGAACTTCTATGTTAAAGAATCAAGACATACTTTAGTGGGTTATTCTTACTGGATGTGGTAGATCTTACTGGATCTACCTGCTCTGTGTTTGGCTCTGGTTACTAGTTTATAATGCAAGGACTGGGGTGTGACTTGGGCTTCATCCTTTATAAACAGAAATTCTCTGGGAGAAATCATGTCAAGTAATCCCTCCCAGTGTCAGGACACTTTAAGGGTGCGGGTGGGGGGGCGGGGGGAATTATGCCAGCATTGCTGTCCGGTGTTATTTTTCTCATGGTTTTTTTGATGCTTTTCTTTAAGAAATCTGATTTCTGGCATCATATGATCTCAGGATAAATGTAGTTTGTATTTTTAAAAAGTTCTCAAATGTCAGAGGTACAGAAAAGCCTGGAAAAGCATTATGTCCTCTCCAGGTGTGTTCCTAATGACTAGGCCTGAAAGGAAATTTAAAAATGGTGATTTATAAATTGGTCACATTGTTTTCACGGCTAGACTTGGGATTTGGAGCAACATTGTTCTGTCTAAAGAATTCCAGGTTTTAGTGAATTCCCAGGAACAGCCTGAGGCTCTGATTTGCTGCCGGATGGAGCTGTCATTAGAACAGGACATGGGATAACCCCTGCAAGAGTTTGAATTCATAGAGCTGCAGTTTGGGGCTGTGCACATATCTCTGGTGCCTGTGCTCAGTTTGGGGCATCCCATTCCCAGGAAGACACTGGCAGGAAGGGAAAGGTTCGAGAGAAAAAACACCCCCAGAATGGTAGGGTGGGGATCTGCCAAGAAAGCCCAGCTTCTTATCACTTAGTCAAACGGAAAGGCTGGAGAGGATGTGGTTTGTACATTTATCAAGTTTCCTCAAATGTCTTTATCAGGGTTTCTCTGTGCTCATTCTTGCTCAATTTGGCAGAGGGGGAAAACAAAGTGTGTGGCTGCTCCTGCACCACACAGAGGTTACACTGGGACTGAGTAATTTTCTCCAGTCAGGACAGGATGATGCTGAGCCACAGATATCTGGGGTGCTTCAAGTGCATTATTTCCCTAAATTCAATCCCAGATTGGATGGGGCTTGAAGCAACCTGGGCTAGTGGAAGGTGTTTGTGCCCATGGCAGGGGGTGGAACTGGATGGGCTTTAAGGTCACTTTCAACCCAAACCAGTCTGGGATTCCCTGTTTTCACCTCTCTGAGGACCACAGCTCTGCCTAGCCCCAGATGGGTGGTTCCCATCATTCTGTGCAGTTTATCTCCCATTTCCTTGTAGTTCAATGCGGTGGTGTGTTTTTCTTTCATTTAATATTAGTTTAAGATTGCTTTTTTTCAAAAACTGGAGTCTTTAGGATCAGCTCATTGTGTGAGAGCAGCTGCTATCATGGTTTAAAAATGCAGGTTTTGTACTTGGGTGTATTAGTTTTTATGGCTAGGAAAAAAAAAAAACTCCAAAGATGGGGAAAAAAGTCACCAAAAAATACAGAATTTGTCAGTATAGGCTGTACTGGGATGGTGTTGAGCTGCTCACAGCCAGGTAGTGTCTGAGTCTGGGAAGGACTGCCAGGCACTCACAGGGCCAAAACCTTAGAGGACTCCAGCTGCAGCATCTTTCCCATCTTTCACATCCTCCACCTCCTCCATATCCTCCACTTCCACCCATCTGTGCTTTTGTTCCAACATCCTTACAAGGTCCTTGCTCTCACAAAACTCTCCCAACACTGCATCCCTGCATCCAGCCATACAAACGGTCCTGGGAATGCCAAAAAAGGAACATTTCCCCATGTTGGGGGTGTGCAGTTGCCTGCTCACAGCAGGACCAACTTCATGTTTGGATGGTCATAACTGCCCAGGCCCTGCTCCATCCAGCCCCATGGAAATGCAGCCAGGAATGGCCCTGTGCAGTGCTGGAGATTGGTTCCAAGGAAGGGAAGGGTCCTCCATCCCCAGGAAAGTGTCTTGGTTATGGAGTGATGGACACCATAGGGACCACAGGGCTGTGTGAATCTGGGAGCAGATACAGACCTCCAGGGACCCCCCAGGCAAAGCCACCAGCAATGGCGTGGTGGCATGATGTGACATCAGACCCCAGGGCAGCCTTGGGAATGGCAAAATCCCTCCCACAGGGACTTCCCAACTGTAGCCCCACCTGAGCCCAGGTGCAGCTCCCCAGCCATGACAGTGCTCTGCCTAGGTCTATGTCCTTCATTCCAAAATCCACGAGAAGACTGGATTTACAAAGAGAGGGGATGCCAGATAAAGGATCCCTGGGCTTTGGGGTGGCAGCAGAAGGAGAGGAAAGGAAACCTTCAGGGTCCAGGGGCTGCACACAGGCAGGAGGTAATTTGCACCAAATGGTGAGGAACAGATGAGCTTAGAGAGTTCTGGGGCTCCTTAGCCACAAGATCAGATTTCACAGCATGAGGAGGCACCCTGGGGCTCTGCCAGCAGACATGACCCTGGAATCCTTCACATGGAATTTTAGTGGAACCTGATCTCATTGAGAGCAGGGTTAACACTGCACAGGGGAAACTGAGGCAGGAAGTGGCTGAGGGACTAGGTCAAGTCACAGGGAAAACCTGTTTGAGGCAGGATTTGCACTGGTGAGTCCCACATCCTGGAATCCCCATGGAGTCCTTGCCAGCTCTGCCCTTCCCCAGCAAGGTAGGTGCTGGGGCAGAGCCAGATGACTAAACCAGATAAAACCCACCATGACAGGACAAAATCCACACTGGCATTAAACAGGAGCCTGTCCTATCCCTGAGAGCTGTCTGGGCAGTGCCTCCCTACTTCCCAGAGGGCTGAGCTGGCTCCCAGCTGCACAGCACAGCACAAATCCATGGCACATGCTCTGGCTGCAGCCACCGGCACTTGGCAGGGCAGAAGGGATTTCACATGGACGCAGCAGGAGCCAGTGAGAGTCGTGGGAGGTGATGTTGTCGTTGCTGTTTTCAGAGAGCCTTTTGCCTTCCCTCTTCCTAGCCCTGTCCACCCAAGGATCAGTGTTGCTGCTGGCACACTGCTGAGGTGGCAGGAAGCACCAGAGACCAACGTGTCACTCTTTTGGGCAATGTTACATTTAAAATCTGTCCCATCCTCACATGGAGCCAGGTATTTCAGGGTATGATGAGAGTTCTGGGCATGGGTGCCACCCCAAAACTGGTGCTAAGCAAAGCACTTGGGCTCAGCCTTTGGTTTAGTCTGGGACAAGGGGGAGCTGCAGGTATCAGAGTTGCGATGGGGATGCTCTGGGGCACATCCCCAAGCAGCCACTGGCCCCTGGGACAGCCACAGCCTGTGACACTACCCTCAGATAGACATTCATGCAAACACACACACACAGGTGTGAACTCATGTGTACACTCCCTGGCAGGAGTTCACAGTGCTGTGTTGTGGTTCTGCTCAAAGATCTGATGATGTTGTTTCACCATTTCCTCTTTCTGCTTTGTGTTCCATTTCCTGTGGTTGTGGGACACTGCTGGGACAGTGCTGAGCAACCATAGGGGCATACAGGGCAGAGGGAGAGGCTCTAGTGCACACTACTCCCAACGAGCATCCCCCAGGCTCCCTAGGCTGCAGCGTGTCCCAGCCAAGTGGGTACTTGGCTGCAGTTTTCTCTGCCCAGGGAATCCTAAAACTGTCAAGATGCTTGTGCCCAGGAGGAAAGAAGAGCCAAGGGTGACACCATGGCAGCGATGTCCCAGCCACCTGTCACATCAGCCGTTGGCAGCAGGAACTGTAGGGCTGCCCACTCTGGTCTGTGTCAGAGGAGCTCCTCCTGCCCCTGAGCTCCACGGGCATTTTGTGGCCCTTTAATTCTCCCCCACAGGCTCACTGGCCTCTGACCTTCAAGACTGCTAGCAGCAGGTATCTCCCAGAGTCTCCACAGCAACTGACAGAGCCCAAGCTTTCCTGGGACATTGGTGCCAACTACCACCAGCACATTTCTGGACCTGTACTGTTTCACTCCTCTCCTTTCCCTGGATTTGAAGCCAAGCCAAGACCAGCCACTGAGTTTAGTGTCTGCTCAAGGTGTCAAAAACCACCCTGGGTCAAGGTGATGGGAAGAGGCAGACAATCCCTGGCGGGGCTGTGGGTACCATCCTGCACCCTTGGGAATTCACTCTTTCTACTCCTGCTGCCCCAAAGTGTCTGCAGGAGTGTCGGCAAGGATACATGAACCCCCTGCCAGGGGGCTTCACTCCAACACCCATGTGATGCTGCAGGGGTGAGAGGACCCATTGAGGAGCTGGGAGGTAGGGAATGATGCTCAGCCTTGGGCAAGATGAAGCTTAGCTCATACCAGGCTGGAGAGAGCAAGGAGGCAACATCCAGGGTTTCCAGATGGGCACAGGGATAGAGAAGGGTCCTGGTGGGGCTCTGGTGCTCAGAAGCTGGTGGCTGAGCACAAGTGAGTTTGGGTTCTGTGGGCTGTATTGCTCTGTTTTGCTGTTTCAGGGGACAACATCTGCACCACCCGTGGGGTGAACTCTTGCAAGCAGTGCCTGGCTGTCAGTCCCCTCTGTGCCTGGTGCTCTGCTGAGGTAAGAGCTGGGGCCTGAGCAGGGCCCTGAGAAGGGCAGGGGATGTAAAGGAAGGGAAGAACCTTTGGGATGAGTCTAGGTTACAGCCACAAGCTCAGTCTCCATCTGTTCTCACTATATCTAAACAGATTCCTTGGTGGCACCTAGCTGAGACCTCAGATCAAGGCACTTGGTCAGTGGGCACTGCTTCTGCCCTGCTCCAAAAATATGCCTCTTATCTCCGAGTGTGTTGGTGGGACCTACATTGAGCTGGCTGGGAAATTGTGGTGTTTCTACTAGGAATTGACTTTATCTTTCAAATAATGTACATTTAAAAAGTTGGTTTGCTTTCTTTTTGCTTCTTGGAAACCTGTTGTAAAGCACTGGTTGAAGGAGCCTAATTCCTGGAAGGGCTGAAAAGGAAAAGGGGCCTGGAAGGCCTGCAAGGAGGAATTGAAAATACTCATCAGAAGTTAATGGCTGGGTTTTAAAGTCTTTTCTCATTAGAAATAAGGGGAGAAGACAAGGTGCCTGGTTTTGGTTGCTGAGCTAAAGTGGATGTGAGTGCTGAGCTGTGGCTCTCACATCATCCGGTTTGGGTAGGTGAGAGCCAAGCAGATCTGCCACGTTGCCCTCCAAAAATGCTGCCCTGGGGGTTAATCCATTGGGTAAGAGGAGGGAGTTTCCCAAGGGGATGGGAGAGGAACCTCAGGGCAGAGCCAAGGGAGGTGATGGGGATGGGGAAAGGTGATTAAACCCTCAAGGCTTTCCTTGTTTTCTCCTTCTGGAGACCCAGTTCTGTCAGCTGCAACTGTGCCCATAATGCCTACTGGGACTTGGAAAAGATCTGGGAAAAGTGATCCAAGCTGGAAAACTGCTGGATCATGCCAGCAGTTGTCTAATGCTTTGGGATCAATGCATATCCAGAGGGTAGGCCTCTGGCTTGATGTGCCCAACAGATCTTGGCAGCTTGGCATGTGGTGTTAATAGAGATGTTTGTGCCAATCTTATCTCCCGCAAGGAGTGGCTGAAACATGCAGCTTGATAAGGCCTTGCTTCCCTCTCCATTCCCCCTCAGTAGCTGGGCTGGGCTCTTCCTTCCCAGCCACTGATCCTGGGCTGCACTGATGATTTGACAATGCAGAGGGAGCCGTGATGGGCTTTTTTTCCTCCAGATCAGTAAAGGTTTCCAAAAAAGGAAATATTTCCAGTGCTGCTCTGAGCTGTGCTCCCAGGCAGACACAACAAGAGTGAGGGAGCCATCCTGCTGCTAGGCCCAGCCCCCAGAGAGCTGGGCTGCACACTCTACTCAGCAACTCTGCCTCCAACATCTGGACCACAATGTCTTAATTTAGCAAATGAGGGTATTTTCTGTGTGTGGGTTTGTTTAATTTCCCTGCGGTGGGAGAGGGTTCTGATACTGCACCCCCCCCCCCACCCCCATTTTTAAAGGGACAGTGCCCATATTTGTGCTCCTTCTGCTCCCACTACAGCCCTTTTCCACTGACACTGCCTTCCCAAGGAGCCTGGAGTGATGATTTACTCTGCTCTGTCGGGTTTTGGATTGGAGAAGGATTTCATTGTGGTCTCTTGTGACCACTGACCCCCTGAGCATTAATCAAGAACAGAGCTGAGTTTTATTTATTTTTCAGAAACCTTGACACACCACCGCACTTGACCAATCTTACTAACAAATAGATGTCCTCATCTGCTGTTTTGGAAAAAGCCAGCCAAGCTGTAACACTGAGACGTATCCCTAAAATCCCTTTGGAGATTATTGTGACAGATCCTTCAGGGTCTCACCCACCCAAAATGTTACCCACTCTGGGTCTCTTGGAGGCTAGACTGGACCAGATTTAGATTTCAGAGAAGCTGCTGGGAGTTTTTAGCTTAATTTGTGGTGGTATCTGTGCTCTGAGTGCTCCCAAGAGCTGTCCTGAAGAGAAGCTGATGCTGCATGTGGTTGTGTCCGAGATGAAAACAGGCTGCCACAGGCGGCCACCCTGGGAGCTCAGGGATGGAATTGGCTCTGCCAGAGCCCTGCCTGACTCTGCCCTCACTAATCAGCTCTGGAGGCAGTAATTGGGATAAAATAATCAGGTTTCCTATTCTGAAGGGAGCATGAGCAAATGTCTGCTTTGCAGTGGGACAGAGAGCAGGGAGAGCTGGTGAACGTCTCTGGGAAGGGCTGTGGGATGGTTGGGATAGAGAGTGTGCACACATCTCCCCACATCTCTGTGTAGGGAGCTGATGCCATCAGGTCTGTACTGACAGGGAATGTGTTTCTCATGGATGAAATTCCTGTGCTATGAGTTTGTCACCACCAAGCTTGGGCTACCTCTAGGTCACTCCTAACTAGGGGCTGTGCCCCAGGTGTTGAGTCAGCAAAGTGGCAGAGCCAGGGATCAAAAACTGGGGGTTGCCAGGGCCTTGTAGCCAAATGTCCCACTTTTGTGGTAGTTTTTGTTGTTGGAGAGGCTCCTGAAAGTCTAGAGTCAGTCACTATATTTAGGGCTTCAAAGAAAGGGAAGGATGCAGCCCTGGGATTAAACAGTTCCTCCATGGAAATCTCACAGCAGGAATGATGCTGCTAATCCCATAAGGTGCCATGAGGCCTCGGAGGTTCTGGGAGCTCCCTAGGATCTCCAGGTATTACTGAGCACCATGGTTAAAACCCACCTGCCCAGCATGCCTTTCACCCACATATTTTTCCAGTGATTTCCCTGACTGGAATGTACGTGATGATTGATGGGATCTGGAGTGAACAAGCCACCCCTTCCCACAGTCGGAGCCCTGTGTAGTAAGCTTATGGGTGGGTGAGTGTGAGGGAGCTAATTTGGAGGAATGACTCGTCCTCCTCTCTGTCAGCACACTGTCTAGGCAGGGGCAGGGTAGGAACACGCCTGCTGATGTTTTTTTTGGCCATTGCTTGGCCACAGTTTCCAGAGGGCCGTGGGCCAGCCAGGGCCTCCTGACACCATTTGTGGTTTTCGACTCATTTGCATAAAGCATACAAATTCATCCCTGGGTTCAACCAGCTTGAACCCAGTTCAGGGCAGTTGATATCCTGTATGGGAATTTCTCTAGCACTGGAAGGCTCAGCACTGGATTCCAGCATCCCAGGAGCAGGAAGGGCACTGAACCAGCCCCACCAGGACTTGTGCCACCTCCCTTTGCTGTAGGAAGAGGCTGTTGTGGTCCTCTGCTGGAGGATTCTAATATAAAAAGATTTGGGCTGAGGGAGGGAGATAAAGAATCCCTTTGGAGGGGAGGGTGGGTGCTTCCTGAGCAGGAATATGAGGCAGCAGATCACAGAAGTGTTGGGCTGGGAGACAAATTCCTCCCATATTTGTCTTCATAAGCAACCAAAGAATAGGAACCCTCCTGAATGCTCTGTGATAAGGATGAGGAGCCAGAATCTTTCTAGGAAAGGAGGGACAAGGCTGGAGCTTACCATGACTCCACACTTTGTGCTTCCTATCCCTGACAGGCTTTTCAAGACTTCTCCCGCAGCCTCAGTGCCTTTGCACTCTTTCACTCCTTTTTTGGTGCTCCTTTCCCTGGTTGGCTCCATCCATTAGGAAGCTGGAGAGCTGGAGATAAGTCTGATCCACTTCCAGACAGGAACTGAGCACTGCTCTGTGCAATGAGCTCACCCACAGTGGACACACTCCTTGCTCATGGCAGGATTTCTGAGGGCCCATATTGGAAAAATGGGGGGAAAGGTTATTTGTCTTTTGTCAAAGTAATAAATAATTTTAAAAGTCCCACACTGCCTCTACCCAGCTTGCCATGATCACATTCTGCCACACCCTTCTCTAGCCATCCCAGAGAGATAGGATTTCCTTTTAGCTCTGCCAAAACCCAAACCTAAGGCTCTAGTTGCCAGGAGTCAGGAGGAGGTTGGCAGGGATATGCTATCCATCATTCCTTGGCAAGGGCTGATGGGCTTCTGCAGGAGTTGCTCCAGCAGGAGCTGCTGATCACAAATCCCCTCTGTCTGCTGCCTTCCTCAGGCAAGAGACCGTGTGCGCCAAGAAGCCTTTGATCCTATTCTGGAGTTAGACATGACAAAGCAGGGGCTCTCCAGGGAAAAGGTGGGGACCTTTCGCCTTCTCCCAGCATAGTCCTGGGAGACTCCTGACCGTGTCCCTCCCCTGCAGGTCTGGGCACACTCAGCCCCTCGCTGTGACCTTCATGCCAACCTCCTGCACAATGGCTGCGGGCAGGACCACATCGAGTTCCCCAGCAGCAGTGTCACCATCCTGGAGGACCGGCCCCTCAGCAACAAGGGCTCAGGGGGGTCCACCACCACCCAGATGAGCCCCCAGAGAATACAGCTGAACCTGCGGCCAGGTAAGAGCCCCCAGACTGCTGCAGAAAGGGGGAGATGCAGTGGGAATAACACAAAGGGCTCAGAGCCATCACGCTGCCTCACTGGCCAGGGTGGTTTTGTGTCCTTCGGGGTCAAGGCCAAGCTGCTGGCAGCACAGAATCCTCCAGAACATCTCTGGTGGGCAGTTGAGCTCTCTGATCATTGTGTTCATTCTCTTGCCTCAATCCTGAGGTATTTGAGAGGCAGGATAGGATGTGACTTAAACAACACATGGGGTATGTTATAAAGCCATTCCGACCTGAGGCACTGCTGCTGTGCTCAGAATGCCTGCATGGAAGTCAGCTCATACCTAACGAGCCACAGAGCAGCTATCAGGGTTGGGCTGCCACCAGATCCTTGTAATATCCCAGGCTCTGCTCAGCCAGGCAGGCTGGAGCCAATTAACTGCTCTGGTCCTTTTCCAGAATTCAGGAGTTTCAAGGATGCTAGGCAGGAGGCAAAACTATAGGGTACAGGGACTCTGTGTACATCCCTGGGCATGGGCAGGAGGAATCCTGCCCCATTGGAAGGATAGCAGGCAGAGGAATCCCCACACAATCAGGACATGGTGCTTCTAAGTGGCTTTTGTTCTCTTTAGGTCTAAAGGTTGTTGTCAGGAGGCAGGTGAGTATGCTGCTCTGAGTGCTGTAGATCCCTCTTCCTTGGAATAAAGAGGAGAGACCCCCAGCTTGATACCATCTTTGCCAAACCAAGAAGGTTTGGCATAAGCCATCTGCCTTGGCTCATGAACCAAGACCAAATCATGAAGGATACAAGCTGGACAGGTCACAACTCATGTCCCACAAGCTCAGGATCCTCATGGTTTCAGCTCAGTGAGGACAAACAGCTGCTCTCTAAGCACAAAAATGGGACTCCTGGCTCTATGGTGGGTTCCCAGCACAGCTGGAGAGGGGATGGAGATTTTTGGGCTGTCATAAATTTTGAAACTTTCTTCATCCTGAAAGAACATGGCATGCAGATTTAGACAGAAATGTGAAATTAATAATAATTTAAGCTTAGTTAAGGCCTTTTTTTCTGAACATGTGAGGTGTTCTGACAAGGCTGCAACTGTGCCCTGGGTTATGTTTCAAATAAACCTTTTCAAAGATCAGAAGAAAGGACCTATGTCTCTTAAAAATGCAGAAAGAAAAGGTCAACTCTAAGTGTTTTCAGCTTTTTTTTTTTTTTTTTTTAATGTGCAAAAGTCATCAAAACTGGGATGTTTCCCAGAAGGTTCTTTCTAAGGAGGTTTTTGTTTAAATGGAAAATGTTTCACCAAAATTTTCTCAGGAGGGGCTGGGAGACCCAAGAGGAGAGAAAGGGAACTGGGATGGGGGAGGGTGCAGAAAATGGTCAGAGTCCTTGGAAGCTCAGAGAAATCCGAAGAAGCCTTGCAGCCTGCCTTGTGATCCCTTTAAGACCTGCTGCCCGCACACTGGGGGTTTCCCTCATTCCATCCAGCTATTCCTATAGGATATCTTGAGAGGTCAACCCTGGACAAGAAGATCTGCTCATGTTCCAGCACTGAGAGTTTAGGAGAACAGGAGACATAACCCCCATCTACCATAGAATTCCAGAATGGTTTTGGGGTTGGAAAGCACCTTGAAGACAATACTGTTCCAGTCCCTGCCATGGGCAGGAACACTTTCCACTAGACCAGGTTCCTCCAAGTTCAATCCAACCTGGCTTTGGACACTTCCAAGGGGTGCACAGCATATCTCCTGTGCAAGCACCTGACTAAAGGTTTTTTTCTCTCTGTCTAAAGGTAATATTCTCCTCCTAGAATTTTTAACCATCCCCTTGGGTTCCTGCTGACCCCTCCCCCTTAATCCTGTGGTGAGCCCCCCTCCCCCTTCCAGGAGATGAGATCTCACTCTACTGCCTTGTCACTTTGCAGATGACTCCCAGGTCTTTCATGTCCAAGTGCGTCAAGTGGAAGATTACCCTGTGGACATCTACTACCTCATGGACCTGTCTAACTCAATGAAGGATGATCTGAGGAACATCCAGAACCTGGGCACAAAACTGGCCAGTGAGATGCGTAAGCTCACTAGCAACCTACGCATCGGCTTCGGGGCCTTTGTGGACAAACCCATTTCCCCATACATGTACATATCTCCTCCAGAAGCCATCAAGAACCCTTGCTATGAGTAAGTCCAGGTTGAGGGAGTCCTGTAAGGGCCAGAAGTTGATGGGACATCACTGAAATGTGGCTGGAAATACACTTTAGTTGGCCAAGAACTGCAGCCCATAGGAATGACCTTTGTTTGAAAGGTTCCTGAAAGGCTGTCTCCCATGGGAAGGACAACAGGCTGGAAGAGAGAGTGTGAGGAGGAAGGAATGGCAGAGGTGTTAGGAACTGAATTCATCCCCCATTCCCTGTTCACCTGTGCTACTAAGGAGCGGGGTATGCAGAGGAGTGCAGTTGAGCCTGAGAGGAAAATAGGGGAGTGGAGAAAGTGGGTGCCTGATTCTGGACAGGGTTTAAACCTTGGTGCAATCTGTGTTCTGCTGGCACAGGGAGGAGGAGCAGGTCTAAATTAGAAATATCATTATCACAGGAAAGCTCTTGAGGGAAAAAAATTGTGTTATGTTTTCAAAAGAAATATTGAGGCTGGAAGAAAATGACTCCTAAAAATCCCAGCAGAACTGAGGCTGGGAGCTGACCTGAGCCCAGTATCCCTTCAACATTAATTTTATTTAAAACGTCCTTCACCAGCCTCAGGCTCTTTGGAGGGCATTGGGTCCCTCCAGCACATCCTGGGCAGGACCATGGGATGTGGGATGGCTGTAGGGCAGGAATGGAAGCTGGAAGAGCCTGATGAGCTTTGTGCCCTGAATGCTCTCCTCCCACAGGATTGGGGAAACCTGCCTGCCCATGTTTGGGTACAAACACGTCTTGTCGCTCACGGATGAGGTGACTCGCTTCAACGAGGAGGTGCGGAAGCAGAGTGTCTCCCGGAACCGTGATGCACCTGAGGGCGGCTTTGATGCCATCATCCAGGCCACTGTGTGCGATGTAAGGGGCAGGAAGGCCTGGCTGGGGTCAGGAAAGGGTCACCAGGCTGGGCCAGGTGGGCTGGCAGGGGCCAATCAATACCTCCAGGACATGATCATAAGCCTTGTTGAGTTGTTGTATGACTGATTTCTGTAAAGGGTGAACATTCAAGTGAAACATTTCCAGCCCAATAGTCAAGGGAAGAGCGGGATGCTCATGGGATCATGACAGGGGAGAGGAGCAGAGCAGGTGCTCGGGAACAATCCCATGTCAGCTGTGCAGTGACCAGTCCAGAAGGGACAACACCTCCTCTACCTTCACCTTGGTTTTGCTGGAGATCTTGCATCCCTGAGTCATTAGCCACGTTAATTAACACTCTAACCAATTAAAACTCATCTTCGACCTACGAGCAGTCCATGCCCACCTTCCAGACCCTACACTTTCACAGCACTTCCCTGTGAGAGCAATTGCTTTGGTTCCCTGTGCAACAGTTGGTTTCTATGGCCAAGCCATGACCCCCTGGCACAAAGGCAGCAGTGGGGTGCTGGCACATGGGACTGCCCTCAGCATGTGCTGACACATGACTGGGAGCTGCTTTTCACTGCAGGAAAAAATTGGCTGGAGGAATGATGCTTCCCATCTGCTTGTCTTCACCACGGATGCGAAGACCCACATAGCACTGGACGGGCGGCTGGCTGGCATCATGCAGCCCAATGATGCCCAGTGCCACATCGACAAGGATAATTTCTACTCTGCCACCACCACACTGGTAAAGCCTGACCCAGGCATGGGGTTGTGGAGAGCACAGAGCATTTGTTGGGTCCCCATGGGATAGGAAAGATGTTTCAGCCATGGTTGGAGAGCATGATGGGGACCAAGGTGGTGGAGTGTACATGTTCCTAGGCTATAGCTCTTCTCTTCCCCAGGACTATCCCTCTCTGGGCCTGATGACTGAGAAACTCTCACAGAAGAATATCAACTTGATCTTTGCTGTCACAGATACGGTTGTTGGCCTCTACCAGGTACCAGCTGCAAAGCCACCCTCCTAGGGGGCTGGTGGGCCATGGGTACCTGGACATGGCTTGGTGGTCTGTCCTATCAAACTCCCATGTTCCTGGATAGGGTTTTGCCCAGCCATAGCACATTTACCCATCACAAACATAACATGTTTATGATATTCTTACAGAACTACAGCGAGCTGATCCCAGGCACAACCGTGGGCACCTTGTCCAGAGATTCCAGCAACGTCCTGCAGCTCATAGTAGATTCCTATGGGGTGAGTGTGCAGTGTGATGGCCCCACAACAACACTCTCCCTAACAAAACAGCCACTGCTTCCCACTGCCAATAACCCACAGATTTGTCAGCTCCCCCAGTCCTAAGCATCCTCCTTGGAACAGCTGTGAGCATCTGCTTCCAACTATGTGTGCAGGCACCCTGGGGGCAGGAGATCACTGTGTTCACTGCCTGTCCTTTCCTGTCTTGAAAACTTTTCCCTGTAGACAATGACATGGTTGAGGCTTGAGAAAGACTTGGGGCACTTGGCACCTTTCCCATGTGCATGGGAGCATCACTGTGGTCCTGGGGGCAGGGGAGGACCTCACCAGGGCTATGCCCTGCCCAGCCTGTGCTGTGTCTTCATCAGTCCTCTCTCCTTCCCTAGAAAATCCGCTCCAAAGTGGAGCTGGAGGTGCGTGACCTCCCTGAAGAGCTGTCCCTGACCTTCAATGCCACCTGCCTCAACAACGAGGTCATCCTTGGGCTCAAGTCTTGCATGGGGCTCAAGATCGGGGACACGGTGAGGATCCCACGCATGGGCTTGGCTTTTCTCCCCTCTACATAGCAGCACTGCCAGGTCACCTGTTGCTCTGCACCAGCACCACGTGCTTGTCCCATGACCTCCCAGGTGACACGGACCCTGGAATTTCAGCAGTAGACAGAGAGGGGTCCAGCAGGGTGGGTGCAAGGAGGAGAATGCTTTTTTGAATCTGCTGGATGCAAACTCTGTGATCTCTCTAGCTCAACCTGGGCTGCTGCCCTTTGGGTTGGAAAAGCCCTCTAAGAACATCAAGTCCATCCATTAGCTAATCTCTGACAGGTCCACCACTAAACCATGTCCTTAAGTACCATATTTACAGGTTTTTTTGAACAATTTCAGGGACAGTGATTTTACTTCTTCCCTGGGCAGCCTGTGCCAGAGCCTGACAAACCTCTCAGTGAAGAAATTTTTCCTAATATCAAACCTAAAATTTGCTTGGTTACTGTGGCAAGCACATTATCTAGCCCACATTGTGCTGGGACAGCTTTGATAAGCTTTGATGAGCCCAAAGAGAACTGGTGGCTCCCATTTCTGATCTCCTTAAGTTGGGGCATGGACTGGAGCAGGTACTGATATCCAGACACACACCTTTGCCCTCCAGGTGAGCTTCAGCATCGAGGCCAAAGTGCGGGGCTGCCCCCAGGAGCAGCAAAAATCCTTCACCATCAAACCTGTGGGCTTCAAGGACAACCTGACGGTGGTGGTGAACTTTGACTGTGAGTGCTCCTGTGAGAGCCACGCCGAGGCCAACAGCCCGTCCTGTAGCCATGGCAATGGCACACTGGAGTGCGGCGTGTGCCGCTGCAACCCGGGGCGCCTGGGCTCACACTGCGAGTGCTCGGAGGAGGAGTACAACCCCTCACAGCAGGACAACTGCAGCCCCCGGCCAGACCAGCCCCTGTGCAGCCAGCGTGGCGAGTGCATCTGCGGGCAGTGTGTGTGCCACAGCAGCGACTTTGGGAAGGTGACGGGCAAGTACTGTGAGTGTGACGACTTTTCCTGTGTTCGCTTCAAGGGCCAGATGTGCTCAGGTGAGTGCTGGGCTTGGCAGGGAGGCAGCTTAGGGCTGTTTAGGCTGTCTGAGATCATGGGCAAGGGACACACCAGTCATTTTGGGGCTTGTCTTGTGAGTTGTCCCCATCTCTGACTTGTTCAGCTGTCCCTGCACCAGCCCTGGTCTGAAGTGATGCAAGAGAAATTACTACCTTTTGAGCACTGATATCACCTCCTGTACCTGAGAGCTGGGAGTGGGGATAAAAAGAAGCAGGTTAAAAAGAAGGTCTCGTGGGGCCGGTGGGGACCAAGAGAAGCAGTTCTGGGGTGTACAGGTCAGGGACCTTGCTTGACTCATACAGCTCAAACACATCAGAAGTACTGCTCTCCAGGAGGAAACCCCAGGGTGGAGGGGGAGGGGTGGGGAGAGGTGGGTTTTATCCTTCACTCAGTTCTGGAGACTTCCTATTGGCAAAAGTGTTGGGGAAGTAAATTCTCCCTCCTTGCTGGCCTTACAGCATCTCCCCTCCTGAATATTCATCTCTGCCACATGTTCCCAGACTTTCCCTCTCCAGTCCATTTGCTTTCGGTACTGGAAAGAGAGGACCAGGTCCTTGGGTTCTCTGGTTCTCCTCCCAGGGAAGAAGCCCTCCTGCAGAAACCCCATCCCAACAGCAGTTCCGAATGTCCTGATATGCCAAGGCCTCTTACCCACCAGGAACCTTCATTTAAGGTTCCTTCCACCCACATCTCCATTAAACACTGAAGGTCTGAATGAATTGCGATGCGCTGCCTATCTCATGTATTTAAGGGGTATGAGAGACGTGACAATGCGTAGGAATGAGGCATGAAACTGTGGCACGTTGTCTCCAGGAGCAGAGAACCCCAAAACTGATTTAAGAAGGGAATGGAAGAGGGGCAGCCACTCCCATTCCTAACCCCAGCCTCCCTCTCTAAGCCCAGAATAGGTAGCTGCTAATAGAGTGACAAAAAAAAGCTACCACTTTCCTGCTGAAATCCCGAAAATCTCCAGAAAAACATCAGTAGCCAAAGCTGATTCCACTCCACTGGAGCCCAGCCTGGATGAGGTGAAAACCTGGGGCCAGATGACACTCAATTCTTGCTCCCTGATGTCCCCAAATTGATCCCACCTGTCCCTCAGGCCAACTTCATGGCTCACACTGCCTCTGTGCTGCTCAGATTGATCCTTTATCTTAACATCCTGCTGATAATGGAGGTTGAAAACACTGGGTTTCCCCCACCCTGAGTAGTCAGTAGTCCTTGTCCTCAAGGAGCCTGTTCCTGTTTGAACAAGGGCTGCAGGTCCCCAGGATGTGTGAAGGGCAATGATGAAGAGCTGCCCCTGACCAGGGTGGGCTGTTAATTAACCTGAACTCTCTGACCCCATTGAGCCACTTCTCCCCAGCCTACCCGTCTGTTTCCTTGCCTTGTCACCCAGCGTGGCACTATTTTCCTGTGACTCAGCCCTAGTTCCTCATTAATGGGGTTATACATTTATTTTACATGCGGTGCCTCCAAAGCCATGGCCAGGACGGTGCCCAGCTGATCCTTCACAGGGAGCAGCATTCCCAACGTGTCCCACTGTGCTCGGGGCTTAGGACAGGTCAGCGCCTGCAGCTTCACAGTGTTTCCACCACTTGTTGTGTCTCGTCTTTGAGATGAAATAAACCACAATCCCAATAGCTCCAGGGTTTGGCAGGATTTGAGCATGCCTGTCTATCTGTTTGACTAAACCATTCTCAGTGAGCGTGTGTACGGCTTTTCCCAGCAGTCAGCTTTCCCTGTCTGGTCCAGGCGTGAGAAAGGAGTCAGGCTTGGGGCCAGATGTCCTGACTCAATCTGAAATTCAAAGCCACAGAAAGAACTTGACTTACTCAGAGACAGATCTAAAGGAGCATCTCCAGTTGGTGCTGCTGGAGCTGGGGCAGCTTAGCCTGAAATGTGGGAGTTTGATCTTGCTTGGGTGGGATAAGAGGAGTGTTTAGGACATGGTGAAGGTCTGGGTTTGGTGTGAGCTTCTCTGTGTCCCACCCCGAGGACAGTGCAAAGGAGTTGTCCTAGGTGGCCACTCTGCCTTGCAGTGCCACAGAGGGTGAGCTGCCACTCTGGTTCATAGGAATCCATATGGGGAATTGCTAACAGGCTCTGTGGAGACACTTAAGAATTCTGATGCCTTTTGGTTGTCCCCAGGCCACGGGCAGTGCAGCTGTGGGGATTGTCTGTGCAACTCAGACTGGACAGGAGACTACTGCAACTGCACCACGCGCACTGACACCTGCATGTCCAGCAATGGGCTGGTGTGCAGCGGCCATGGCTCCTGTGTGTGCGGCCGTTGCGAGTGCACCCAACCCGGCTCCTACGGAGACACCTGCGAGAAGTGCCCCACCTGCCCGGATGCCTGCACCATCAAAAAGTGAGAAAGATCAGAGGGCTGGGACAGGTCATACCACATTGTGGGCTGGCAGGGAGCTGGGATAGGTCATATTCCAGTGGGGAGCTGGCAGAGAGCTGCAAAGGGTCATGCTGCAAAGGGCAGCACTGAAGGCTGGAGCTCTCACTATCTGCAGCCCAGTAGGGTTGGGACTGCTGTGATTTCCACAACCTGAAACTGAAAGGTGTGACAGTTCCCTGAGGAGAGCATGGAAAAGCTCACGGTACCTCCCTCCTTTTCCACAGGGATTGTGTGGAGTGCAAGAAGTTTGAGCGGGGAAAGCTAATGGAGCAGCAGTCCTGCAGCCGCATGTGCCGTGATGAGATTGAGACAGTGCAGGAACTGGGTAAGAGGAGACCCAACCCCTGTCCTAATACGTGGTAATCCAGGGGGCTGTGTATGCCACATGATTTCCCTCTGTGTGTGCACCCCTCAGCATGGGGACTCTGAGCCTCTCCCTCTGGCAGGTGACAGGGGCAAGAATGCCGTGAACTGCACCTATAAGGATGAGAATGACTGTGTGATGAGGTTCCAGTACTACGAGGACTCCAGTGGCAATTCCATCCTCTATGTCATCGAGGAGCCTGGTAAGACCCAGCTGCCATGCTCAGGCTGGGGGCTGCAGAATGTACTGTGCTGGGTTTCTGTGTGGAACAGGGGGATGTTGAGTTCCCTTTGTATCTCCCACTCCAGCCAGGCTCATGAGGCACCACAGCTGGGGGCTGAGAGGGATTAAAGAACTTTTTTGTCCCCTTCTCAGTGCCAGTGGGCCATGATTTCCTGCCTCTCAGGTATCACATTTCCTAAGTTATTTCATCCCCTCACTGAGGCCAAGGATGGGGGCTCAACCTTCCCACCGCCTTGATCCTGTGTTTGACTTTGGGGGGGGTGTTTCTTGGGAAGCAGATAGGAAGAGGCTCCCATCAGCAGCCCCAAGGTCTCCACTGACCTCAGCTGAGCCTGGGAGTGTGTGGCTGCAGATCCTTCAGTAGCAGGGCCATAAAGGCAGCCACTAGCTCTCACTGCAGCTGTCTGCCAATGGCAGGGTACAGCCCACACTTCCCAGCCTCACATCCAGATGGGAGAGGAGAAGCAGGGTGAAGGCCGGGTCAGTGTGCAGAGGGAGCAGGAACACCGGAGGCTCACACTAGATCTCCCTGCCCCCATTTGCCAATTCAGTGTTGACACACGGCCAGAGGCTGGGGTGGGGTGACAGTGGGCTGGTGGTTTGGGGCAAACTTCACAAGCACAAGGACTTGGCCTCCGGTGTCACCCCCCCACGTGGGTGGACCTGTGATGCCCCTGATCTAGCTCGAGGCTTGGGTACAGACCCCCACCCTACAGACAGGTGCTCAAGTATTTTGGCACAGGTGCCCCATGGATGGGATCCTCCTTCACAGAGCCTGCTGTGCTCAGGATAGAGGATCATGCTTGCTGGCAGAGGAGGATGATGCCCTCCTAAGATCAAAGGAGCTCCATGTACCCATGGCCAGGTAGCCCCAGAGCTGCTTTAAGTTGCCCTGGGGGTGCTGAGCTCTCCTTAACCCTGCCCTCCTCTCTGCTCCAGACTGTCCAAAGGGGCCAGACATCCTGGTGGTCCTGCTCTCAGTGACAGGTGCCATCCTGCTCATTGGCCTCACTGCCCTGCTCATATGGAAGCTCCTCATCACCATCCATGACCGCCGTGAGTTCGCCCATTTCGAGGAAGAGAAGGCCAGGGCCAAGTGGGACACGGTGAGGGGCAGTGGATTGTGTGCTGGGCAGGAGTCCCAAAACCCTATAGCTTCTGCCTTGAAGGATCCAGATCCCAGTGCTCCTGGCATGAGAGCCCAGCTGCTGTCTGTTGTCCCATGACATGGTCCTTAAGGGCCAGCTTGTCCCATTCCTCTTTAAAGCTTGGGACATTGTCCCAGCCAGGACTCAAGGTGACACTGCCAGCTGGGACACCCCTTCCCTGAGCCTGCTGTGCTCTCAGGGGCTGTGCACAGGTGATATGAGATGTCCTAGATTATCTTCCCCCCTCCAGCACATCCAAAGCACCTGTCAGCAACATGACCCCCTTACTCACTACTCACAGCAGTGTTTCCATCCCATGAGTGAGGCAGAAAGTCCCTCCTGCTACAGGATGCTGGAAAGCACTGAGGAACCCCAAGCACAAGGGAGGGGGTGGGACAGCACCGGTACCTGTCCCCCACCTCTCCTCCATCTCCTAACCCCCTGCAAAGGGATGGGATGGGATGGGATGGGATGGGATGGGATGGGATGGGATGGGATGGGATGGGATGGGATGGGATGGGATGGGATGGGATGGGATGGGATNGGGATGGGATGGGATGGGATGGGATGGGATGGGATGGGATGGGATGGGATGGGAGGCTCTTTCAAGAGGTCTCTCTCCTGAGCTCCTGCTGCTTTTCCTTTCCTCCACAGCAGCTTTTCCCTATTCTGCCCCATAAAAACTTATGGGGAGCCATTAAACTGCTCATCCAAAGCCTTGAGTGGAGACAGGGATCCACCACTCCATGCTGAGACAGTGCCTCAGTTACCCCAGATGTTAAGTAGAACAAAGGCAGATGCCAAGCAAAGAGCATCAAAGTGATGATGCTCTTTTTCATCTTCCTTCTTTCTCCAGACCCATAACCCTTTATATAAAGAAGCCACATCTACCTTCACCAACATTACATACCGTGGGAACATGTAAGGACTGCAACATCCAGCACTGGCCATGGGATCAGCTGGTGATCCGTGGGATCTCCTGGAACCCAGTTTATAGAAGAGCTTGTTTGTGTCTGCCTGTGTGAATGACTGCATGTGATTTAACAAGTCCCTGACTGCCTCCAACCCATATTGTCTGTCACCCCACTGTAACTGCAGGGATGTGCTTTCCATGGCAAACCTCGGTCCTTACCTCAGCGGGTTGCTTGCAAAGCCACCAGCCCCCCATACACTGAGCACAGAGAAATGGGATGATCTTTGTCAGTCTGTGAATTCTTTGGTGCTCATCGGGCCACAGGAATTTCAGAAGCAGCTGCTTGAACCACATGCTGAGCTGTGCTCTCCTCCACAGCCTGTGCTGGTGAAGCTCTGACCGCTCGGAATCCCCTTCTGCACTGGCCTTGATCCATCTGGGCACAGGGACTTTCTCCTTCAGGACAGGGCAGCTGCCAGCAGGCAGGAGCCATCACTGGCTTTGGGGGTTCAGGACACTGCTTGAGCAGCCCAGCAGCTCCTTTCTTCTTGCAGCCATATGTCACTGGTGCTGCTGTGACCCAGGGTGGTAAAAAGCTGTGCCCCACATAACAGTGCCCTCCATCACTCCCTCCAATGCATTCAGTCTGTACAACCTGCCAATTCCATACAGGATTAGCTGTGCTAGTACCAGCTGCAGCCTTGGTTCAGCCCCTGGGATGGCACTGAGTTCCTCCTGTCTGCCTCCACTGTCCCCATGCCACAGCACACATGGATGTCCAAGCAGCTGCTTCAGGAGGGTCATGATGCCTGATATCCCTTGAGCCTGACCACCTCTCTCCCCTTACTGTGTTTTTTGGACTGTGTAACTGCAGCATCCCTGGACTTCTGTGTAGCTCAGGGTTCCAGAAGAGCAGGCAGGGGTCAGGCTATGTCCTGCTGCCTGAAGCTGTGTGTCACCCGTGGAGGAAAACAAAGAGCTGTCCCAGGGGCAGTGCTGGGCTGTAACAGTGCAGCTACCTGGTCCCTGCCCTGCCAGAACACATGGCTCAATTCCCCTCAATTGCCCCAAAAAGCAACAGTGACCTTGCTCCCATCATGGGGTTGGCCCCAATGTCCCCAGCAGTTTGTTGGCTGAGCTGGTGGTGGCTCTGTGTCCCTGTTCCCTGGCTGGCCTGTCCCAGCAGTGTGGGACCAGGGGCAGCAGTTGGTACTGAGTGGGATCTGGGTGTGAGCCCTGTAGGGGGGCCAGGGATGGATGGGCAACACCAGAGTGCCAGTGATTCACATCACAAAAATAAAAATAAAAAACAAACAAAAACAAAAACCAGGAGGAAAAAAACATCACTCAGACTACTATCAGGGTGGTCCCCAGCCTATGCCCAGATTTCTGCCCTGAGGGCAGCCCCTGACACCCCAGCACAACTCGGGGAGCTGGTTTGAGATGAGATAGGTTGGCAGATGGCAGAACCAGGGCAAACAGGGCTGTGGACTCCCCATGGGGGTCTCTGCTCTGTTACTGGTTCCCTCCTCAGTGTCAATAACAAGATGGGGAGCACAAGGTGGGCCAAAGCCACTGCAGACTATGGTACAGGTAGCACCTCATTCCCTTGCAGGGGAGTCAACCCCACAATGCCACATCCTATTTGCTTGGGTCTTTGACATCCCACACACACCCCATGCTACCAGGTGCTCCGAACCCACACTATATTCAGGCACCTTGGGCAGTGTTCAGTGTCACCAGCTGTGCCAGGCAGGAGCTCAGTGGGTGATTACAGCACCCAAGTGGAATCTGTGCCTGAGTTGAAGGTAGGCTCAGCTTGGTTTGGCCCCAGGCTAAGCATTTGGCCTGCCAGTGGGCTCCAGGAAAGGCAAAAGCAAAGGGAGAGCCTAGCTGCAACATGAAGAAGCATGATGAGCTCCCCCCAGGCTGCCTGGGGCTGCTTCCACTGGAGAAACCCCAACAATTCCACATATGCTGTTCAGGCAGGAGACTTCCATTTCCCATGGAGCTGTAGGATTAGGCAAGACCCCAGTTTATCCTAGTTCACTGCCCCTTGATGCCAGGGGTCATGGCTATTTGCAAGATCAAGCCCATGACCACAAGGAGCAGCTGTTCTGAGTCTGGAGTGACTTTTTTCCCCAAAATCAAGGCAGTGCCGGCTGGAGTAGAGGAGAGGGAGCAGCCAGAGGTCCCTCCTGGGACAGGGCGTGAACTTTGTGGTTGCTTTCAGCTCCCCGGGAGAAGCCATTTGGAAGCTGTACTAGGTGCAACTCTGCGGCACGTGCCGATTCCGGGCTACATGGAGGCTGATGGAGCCCGGCACCACTAGATGGTGGTGTCTGTATGTGTTCAGCCCGAGCTTCCCACCTTCTGGGCTGCTGAGTGATCATCTCCCACACTGGACAGGGACATTTGCCCCACGGAGGTTCCCAGGGAGTGAGGATACTCCGAAACCCATCCCACTGACACAGCTCCTACAGCAACACTTAAGGCCAGAATTCTCTTTACTGCTACTTTAATTCCTGGAAGCGCTGAAGTGCTCTTTCCTTGAACCCCATCAACTCCTTTTGTAAACTGTTTCCTGTTAGTAAACCCAAAAAATAAGCAAAGCATTTCCAATACAGACAGAAAATGACAAAAGGTGAATCTTTTCTGATTCACAACCCAGAATGGCGTTTTCTACATGTCTGGGGAATTTTCTGAAATGAAACACATCTCCCCATTCACTCTAGGGAAGCAGGCCAGTGTTGGAGTGCTGAAGTCCCAGCATTCTCAATGGAAATCCATTTTCCAGAACAGAGTCTGCAGGAGGTACTGAAGAACATGACTGTAGATGATGAGTACATTGGCACTTCAGGACAGTTCAGGATCTGAAGCATTTGCTGGGCAGAAAACTTAAGATTTGGAGAAGAGAAGAAAGCTGGAATTAAAAACAGAAAACCAAAATGCTGCATTTTCCTTGGCACAAAATCACAGAATAATTTATGTTGTTGTATTTTGGGCTCCCCTTCCTCAAACGTACTTGCTGAGAGAATTGGGATTGTTCAGCATGGAGAAACAAAGCTTCGGAGTGACCTAATTGTGGCTTTGCAGTACCTGAAGAAGATTACAGGAAAGATGGAACAACACTCTTTTACAAGGGCCTAGAGTCACAGGAAAAGGGGGAATGGCTTCATACTGACAGAGGGCAGAGTTAGATGGAATATTGGGATGAAATTCCTCCTTGTGAGGGTGGAGAGGCCCTAGCACAGGGTGCTCAGAGCAGCTGTGGCTGCCCCATCCCTGGAAGGGTTCAAGTCCAGGTTGGGCAGCGGTTGGAACAACCTGGTTGCGTGGAAGATGTCCCTGCCCATGGCAGGAGGTGGAATGAGATGGTTTTTAAGATCCCTTCCAACCCCAACCATTCCATTACTCTAACTAACTCCACCTTCCCCCATAGTCCTGGGGACATGGTTGACATCCACAATGTAGATTCCAGCTATCCCCTTTGCCAGTGAGGAGGTGCAGGAAGCCCAGGATACACCACAGGAGGAGACTGGCATTTCCCTTCTTGCTCTGGGCTCCTACTTGTCCACTCCTTCAGCAACCCAGCGACAGAAACACAGGGAGATACTGGGTCTCTGCAACTCTCTTTGGGTCACTCTGGCATGGGATAAACCATGCACTCAGGACAGCTTAAATTCTCTCTATTTCTGCACTTCCCTTAATCTTGGGTTGAATTTTTGCTTTCCATTATATGGCAGAAAGGCACAGTGTGAACTCAGTGTGTCTGAGCAGTGCCACCCCTCAGCGGGGCATAGGAGAAAGGGCTGTGTCTGTATGCTTGGTGGAGCATTGTTTGGTTATGAGTGGCCACGGAAAGGTAATTTAATCTTCTTGGCCTCAGAATCCAACCCTGCTGGGAGGGAGGGAGTTTCATTGCATTATTGTGGCTACATTTCTTCAGATCCTGAGATGGATGGAGTGGGTGAAAGGCAAAGGAATCATTATTATTATTGTTGTTGTTATTATTATTATTATTATTATAATTAACCTCTTTTTTCAAGTCTGTCTGTTCTGACTGCCAGCAGGCAGGGCAGTTTTCCAAGACTTTCTTGTTACCAAGAGCGTGACCATTGTGGATAATCTGGGCTTTGACCTGGTTACAGAGGAGATTCACTTGGTCCCAGAGCCATGGGAGGTGTCAAGTCTGGATTCTGTGGATGGAGCCTCTCCAGCTGCCGTTTTGCTGTCACTCCCAAAACCTGAAATCTCCCTGGAGCACTGGCAACACTCCCTGCTCCACTCAAACGTTGCCTGGGCACTTCCCTAGGGCACAAGGGTGTGTGCCTCAGCTCCATCCTGGGCTCCACAGCCAGCAGGGTTCACCTGACCAGCAAGTAAAGCTGGAAGCCTTAGGACAGAAGAAGGTAAGGCTAGGTATCTAAGGTCTTTTTCCTTAGAGGAAACCTAGAATCTTTGGGAACCAACAGGTAAGTTAAAAGCCTCCTGCATGCCTGTACTGGTGCTTGTCAGATGACAAGGATGCAATGTTAACATGAAGCAATTGGTTCCCTTAAAATATTGCAGTGGTTCCCACACAAATGGGATAAACATGGAAGCAAGTCTCTGGTGATGAGGGACTGATGGGTCCTCCAGCAGTAAAATCATCCTCCCCTGTCTCAGCAGGGTCTAATACCTTATTTTTGTACCTCCAGATGCCACAGAGGCATCATGCTATGATGGGGATTTCTGCTCCTGGATTTAGTCCAGACTCTGACTTTTTCTCTTTTTCTGCTTTGTTTCAGATGTTCTTGGCTAAAAGAGCAGAGGCCAAGAGCAGCTGTGGTGCCCCTGGATCCCTGTCAGTGCCCAAGGCCAGGCTGGACAGAGCTCGGAGCAGCCTGGGACAGTGGGAGGTGTTCCTGCCATAGCAGGGGTGGCACTGGGTGGGCTTTAGGTTCCTTTCCCACCCAAACCATTCTGGGATTCTGTGCCATGTACTCTGGAATGACCCTACTGGAACAGGAAGGCTGGACCAGAGGAACCCCTGTGGTATCTTCGAGCCTGTCCCATTCCGGAAGCTCTGAAACGCGGGATAAACTCTCCAAGAGGCCTTTTCGGGACCCTTTCCCCACCTCACCCGGCGGGACCTCTCACCTGACCGCCCCTCCCACGTGACCACCGCCCGCAGGCCTCCTGCGGGTCGACCGGCGCCGGAAAGGCGGTGCCGCTTCCGCTTCCGGCGCTGGCCGGGCCGGCATGGCGGCGCCCAGCGCGGCGGGGGAGCGGCGGCCCTTCGGGAGGCGGCTCCTCACCGACCCCGCTCGGCTTTTCCAGCACAACGCCTGGTGCGTCAGGGCTGCCGACGCTACCCGCTCGAGGTCCCCGTGAGCCGCCCGGGGTTCTGCTGCCCTGTGGTGCCGCCCGGCGGTGGGGTGGGGGTGGCCGGGGCGGGCTCGCCGTCGTCTCTCCGATTTGCGATGTCTGTGGCCAAGTGCTGTGCAATGGGCCAGCGCAACCTGCCCGTTCCGCCTCACGGGGTCCCTTTTCTCCCGGACGTGCCTCGAGAGATTCCCTCGGGGCGTGGAGCGGGCTGGTGTAGGGCTGGCGGCTGGACAGCAACTGCAGCCCGGGTGGGGAGCGGCATCCCCGAGCAGGGCATTGCCCTGTGTGGCCAGTGTTGGTCACGAGTGCTGGCCCTCGGAGATCCTGAGCACTTGAAACTGCTCCCTGCGGGGTTCTGAGTCTTGGGGACTGATCCTCTGGAGGCTCCTGAACCTTTGGGACTGATCCCCAGGATGTCCTCAATCTTCAGGACTGATAGACAGGGAGCTTTGAGCCATTCTCAACCCTTCCTGAAGCAGTTGCATTCCTCAGGCTCCTGTGGTTTGTAGCAATTGTTTTATTGCTGTGGTTAATTACCTGCTGTTAGAAATCCATAACCTGTCATTCCTTCAGTAAAGTTGTTCCAAGTGTGTACTTGGAACAGGAGCTCTTAATACAGAAGTTGTTTTAAGTCAGTTAAACATCCAAATTCTCCAATTTGCTGGGAACTGAAGGTATTTTGCATTTTTGGTGTAAATAGATCAAATTTTGCTCTCTGGCTGCTATACCATTTTAAGAATTAGCTGTGTTTAATTTGTAATTAAGTAATATTTATGTGTGTCAGTCTGTCATTCCTTCTGAGACTCTTCTATACAAAAGGTATCTATTCTATACAAAAGGTATGTTACAAAAGCATATCCTTAGTTTTCCTGTGGAAATTCTTAATAATCTGCTTTTTCACAGGCTTAATATTTAAGCCTTTGTTTTGTGAGTTAAAATTGGAAGATTGATCACTTTGGAGACAAGAACTGCTTCTTGGGCCTTGTAGTCTGCTTTTCACTGACTTGTTTTAATGAAAAAAGGCCAAGTGAATTACTTCAATGACTGCATGGCTGTGTGTGTGCATTGAAGTTATTAATAATTTTTAATGCTTTAAAGCTTACCATAATTTTCTCATAATTAGATTTAATTTAACAGTTACCTTCCAAATAACCCAACTGCCTTTTTTGTTTTAACTTGAGAAAGACAATGGAGTTCTGTGCTGAGTGCCCTCATGGTTTTAGCAAGGATCTAGTCCCTTTAAATTTGACTGAGCATCCAAAATGGGACAGATTTAGGATCCCTTCTGTTTGCAATTCCATGAGTTCATTCCGGACTAGGACCTGCATGTGCTGACTAGACTGTTGTGCTGGTGCTGGGCTGGAATTGGGGATCACATCTGCACCCCTGTCCGTGTGGAGGGCTCTCCAGACCTTTCTCTTTCCTCCCATGCTTAGCTCTAGTTCATCTTATTTTTCACAACAGGGACAATGTGGAATGGTCAGAAGAGCAGGAAGCCAGTGCCAGGAGTAAAGTTCAAGAGAACACCTCACAGCTACTACCACAAGATAAACAAGGTACTTTTGGAGAGTATCTTCATGTGAGTCTTGGCTTTGTGGAACAGTCTGGCCAGAGTCACATCGGAGCATCATCAGTTCCTCTCTTCCCCCTCTCCCAGTCATTCAGAAGGCATTAACACATGTGTGGAAATGGGAAATTGAAAAGGAGGAACCTTTCCGTTTTTAATTTATCTCTCTGTGACTCTTCCACCTTCACTAGATACTCCTCCGATTTGGGAGGAGTCAGATTGGGTTGAGTTTCTTTGTCATGTTGCGTACGTTAAATACTTGTTATGTTCATTGTCAACAAACCTCTTTGAATGTAGAGTTGTTGCCTCTGCTTATTTTTGCTCTTTAAAGCTTAACTGCTAGTAATCAATCTCTTTTTGCTGGCTTGCTGTGGAGTGAGCCCTGATCCAAGCTGATTTTCTCTTTAAAGGGTCTGATAATGTCCAGTATCTGTCTCTACAGAGTAAACAAACTGCATGAGAGCACTTTCATCAGAGAAAGAAAAACTATTTTACCTTGATTGTTTACCCTCAGACAGCAAAGAGATTCCAAAGTTTTTATTTTATATGATTTAAAGGTTATTTATCAATCCAAAATGCAGAGCTTACTTGTCTCTGAATCAAGTGTGAGCTCAGCTCTTTGGTTAAGTCATGGTTGAAGCCATTCTGAAATGGTTAATAATGCATTTTCTACACACCTGATAGAGATCATCCAGTCCCTCAAATGTTGGTGAAATTCTTCTTTGGTGTGTTAAGAAACTTGTGTGATTGTACGCTTCACTTGCCCAGTCACGGGGATCTTTTGTGCCGGCTAGCGTATCCCCTTCAAGTGACTGGAGGGAGCTACGAGTGTGGCTGCCCCCAGCTCCTCACTTAGAGCACCGGGTGGCAGTGATTGCCTCGGCGTGGGTGACGAAGGCACAGCAAAGCTACGAAGACCCAAAGCAAAGGAATGGGGAGCGGACACCTGTATGAGGTCTGCAGAGCCTTTGTTCTCCCAAACCGGGACAGTGACAGATGTCTCTCTACCTGGGGTCTGACAGGGGATTATAAAGGGTGTTGGCATGAGGGGGATGAACACAGTGCAACCAATAGGAAGGGATTACATCAATGCAGGGGGCCAATGAGGAGAACTTAGGGAGGGGAAAGGCTTCCAGGGACCAATACTACTAACAAGAACAGGGATGACTGACATCGAACATTCTAGAAGAAAATGGGGGTGGTTTCAGGGTTTGACAGGGAGAGGGGGCATTACAACTTGGACTGACAGGGGTATTTTTAGGTACATAGGGAGATTGACAACCCTGTGGCGGAAAAACCTTTCTAGGGAGGAATAGGGGACACATGGAACATACCAACAAGACCTGTCTAACAACTAATTTCTAACTTAATTACCAAAACCTTATAAATCCTTGTAAAACTGTCACACCACCACATGTGTATACCCTGCTGAGCTCTAAGGTGTATCTGCTCCTTTTGTTCAAATTAAATTGAGTATGTCACCCATAAGATGATGTTGAGCACTACTGGAACTATTGACACTTCCATATAGCTTCCAGTTGTGTTCACAATAGCAAATTTAATTACACCAAAGAGTAACCCTCCTAATTTCTTGGACTCTTAGAGGTATCCAGTGGTTTTCCATTGTGATGCCCATTGTGTTGAGCTCATTTTAAAATCTGCTTAGCATTAAAGGGTGCTGTTTGTCATGCTTTGAGAACCTATATACAACTAGGAAATTGTGGAGCAATTTGCTGTTGGAGCCATTTGTCAGAGCTCCATGATGTATTTCCCAGACTGAACAATGGAGGCCAGTCCAATGTTGATGGTTACTATTCACTGGGAAGCTTGTGGAGACAATGGGATGGCTGGAAAGTAGGGAAAGCAGCCCAGGCAAATGTGCCTGAAGGGTCTGGTAGTTTGAGCATCAGGATGTACAAGGAGGAAAACAAAGGCAGAATATTGGTCATTATGGTTGTATTATTCTGTGGACTACTTGGGTATGTCAGGATTTATTCTGAAGAAGGATGTAAGCTTGGTGGGTATGTGGAAGATGTGTCTTCTGGATGGCAAAAGAAAGAGAAAAAAATCCAAGCTTCTTGATTTCTTTTTGAGGCTCCATAATTAGCCCCCTTGCAATTCAGGAGGTTTCTGATTCTTTTCCGGTCTTTTTGAACAATTACTTTTGTTTACTCTTCTTTTACAGAGTGAAGGGGTGAGTATGGGCTTGGGTTTGGGGGTGTGCTTGTAAAGATGAGCCAGGAATCCTTATCAGGAAAGTCTCTGGAGGAATCTGGCTTGCACACCAATGGCACTGTGAGCTAATACCCCGAAAAGGCCTGGGACAAGTATGATGTGAACTTTTCTGGCAAGAAGTCTTCCTGAAAAATTAACTTGGTCATATTTTCACTTAAATCTGTTTCTTGTATGATCTTTGTCAGCTGGCCCTTGATTTTTTTGTATTTATATTGTTACTGATCCTTTATTCAGTTTATTGAAAACAGCAGGCTCCAAGGTAAATGAACTTTAAATAAAGCTTCCCCACATGTGGTTTGGAGTATGACAGCTCTTCAGTAGCATCCAACAGAATTTTGCACTAATGTAACAAAGGAAGAGTACAATGTCTTCTTCACCAGTGTAATGTGGCAAAAATGTGGGCAATCCAAAATGGCTGGGCTGGAATTTTGTCCCAGCATCTCAAGTAAGCGTTCCACAGCAGTCAGGTTCTCATGGGATTGTTGGAGATGAGCAGAAATCAGGATCTGTGTTTTTGTTAGGTGAAAGAGTGTTTCAGCCTCAGAAGCCTTGCAGATTCCTGCTAGTACATGGGAGAAAGGCTGTTCAGGATAGAGTATGCGAGGGTTTGGATCAATAGCACTTCCTCCAGCATCAGCAGTCATTGACTTCTTCCATGCAAATAGTGAACTGACCTGACCCTGCTCACTGTGACCCACAGTGAGATCATGGCACAAACTTACTGTTTGTGTCTAATGCCAGGCATTAAAATTTCCTTTGGCTTGAGGTTTAAGAACCAGACTTCTTAAAAGGAGAAAATCCTTATAGTTGAGGTGAAGACATTATTTTTATATATAGCTCTTTGTGCTGCAGGAATAGATACTACTAAAAATAGAGATGACTGATTAGTGCTTCTTTGTTAAAGCCATTTTTGTCCATATTTAGCTGAGGCTACATATTTTCCAGGTGTTCTGGGTTCACTTTACTGTTTCACTTTGAAACAGGTTTATGTTCTTCAGGAAGACTAGTAAATAAACAGCAGTTCAGCTAATAATGCCCCCCAGTCTTTTTTATTCAGCAGTGCACTTCTTGCCATCCAAAGATGGTTGAGGAGTTACTTGTTATTGGCATGCAATTGGGATTTCTGGCCATGGATGTTAATGTCTGTAGGTGACTCCAAGCATAGGATGCTATAATTAGGTGTTAATTCCCAGGACAGAGAGCTCATCACATTGATGAAGTCATAGAAAGTCACTTGGATTTGCAGCTTCCCAAGGAAGAAATTGTTCTCCCAGACTGTATTTGATCTGAAATCTGTAAAAGTGTGTAGAAATAAGTTTGCAGGTCACTCAAATGTCTTCATCATGGATTTATAAGAGCTATTCCAGCTCTCTGTAATACTAGCTTGCTCCTGGAATGAACCATTTGATGTGAAAGTGCTGCTGCTCAAATTAATTCTGTTCAACTTTAGCCTGTCCACCTTAGCTCTCCACTGGTACTTTAATGCAGTGGTCACTGTTGATTCCCCTCTTTTGTTCATACATGTGTGATGCTCTGACACACACAGAACTATGGAAAGCAAAGTTATCTGGACTGGTGGAAAACATGCTGTCGTATTACCTGCAGGATTGCATAAATTCCAACTGAGCTTCCTGGCCTGGAGAGTTGACTCGTTTTTTGGTTTCTCCACCTGAAAATAAGAGCAGTGTGTTGGACAGGAGCTTTCAGCTCCAAGCAGCTCTCAGAAAATTAGGAGAGTTGTGCTTGACACTTAATGTCACCAGGCTCCAAATTAATTGTTCCGGTGAGCTGAACAAGTCAGTGTTAGAGATGGAAGTAAAACCTGGATTTCTTTAATTCAGTCTCCTTCAAAAAGACTTTTTCTATTGCCAACTTTCTTTAAATCCTACCAGGAGACAGTTTCCTCTTCTCTATTTCTTTTTTTAAGTCCTAACAAAGTGACTGTGACAACATAGGCTGAGTGCCTATGTGGGATTGCAAATTTAAATAAAGGTGATTTTCAGTCAGTAATGTCACTTATTACAGCAGGTTGGTGCCTAGATACCTGCAGTGATCCCTCACTCTCTGAACTGATTAAGCCCTGAGACCTTCTGATTTGATGCCTGGTGATATTTTTGCTTGTGTTCACAGAGGAATATGAGGTGAATGCTAAGAAATACTGGGATGACTTCTATAAAATCCACGAAAATGGCTTCTTCAAGGACAGACACTGGCTCTTCACTGAATTTCCTGAGCTGGCACCTAACAGAAACTCAAGCCAAAATGGAGATTCTGTGCATGGATTTAGTGACACAAAAGAATCCAAAAATGAAGGGCTGGGAAGCTGTGAAAATGGCCATTGCTCATTGGAAACCAGGACAGAGAGTCAGTTAAACCTGATAGAGAGCCCGCGTGGAGGCCACACAGAGGAGTTGGCTGCACAGAAAGACAGTGAGCTGAGTCTGAGTGATGGGCATTACCCAGGATCAGCTGCATCTTACCGTATCTTAGAGGTAAAAACTATAAATCAAAGTCACACTCACACATCAAAGCCTCCCTTGTGTCAGTGTGACTGGAACCTAAATATGTGTGTCACTGCCAAACAGCAAGGGAGTGGATGATTACCTTCAGTCAGTAAAATGCAAAAATCAGAGAGCAGTTTAGAACTGAACTAAATCTGTTTGGATTCATTTTGTTCAGACTCTGAATTAACAGAGCACAAGGACCATAATAAGTTTACAAGTTTAAAAGCCAAACTATTGCTATCAGATGTTCAAACAAACATTTAAAAGTCATCTTTTGAAGACTCTGATTCTTCTACTCTGTATAAAGCTTTCCCTTGTGTCCTGGTTTAGGGCAAATTTGAGAGGAAACTTCCAAAGGGGTCTCACTAGAAAGCAGATTCAAGTGGCCCCTCCCCCAAGTGTCTCAGGAAAATATTTCCTTGGAGAAAAGTAAAAAAAACCTGTTTCTTTAACAAGCATAAAGAATTCACAGGCATAAAAAAAATAAATAATAAGCCATAAAACCTCTCACTGTTCTGAAGAGATGGCAACTTCAGAAAGCCCCTGTTGTGGGGTGCAGTTTGGCTCACTGTTATCAGTCTCTCTGGTGCTGGAATACCACATCCCGGGCCTCAGTGGGCCACAGGCGTGAGCTCCCAGTGTTCCTCTGTGATTTTAGTCCAGAGCAGGGTCAATCAGTTCCGAGGAAAAGAATAACCAGGGTCCGGGGAACTTCGCTACCTTTACCTACCTAAACAAAACTAACGAAAAGTGAAGGAGAGGTCTCTCCTATTGTCTTACAGACAACACAATCTGTGAGAAGGAATGCAGAGTGGGGGGAGCAAGTGCAGTTTCTGCAAACAAACTGCGCACTTCTCTCCCCCTTTGCTCTCAAAACCAGTCTTAAAGGTGCAGAACTTAATATCCAGCATAAACAGAACTGATGATCGGGGATACAAGCATCATATAGTCACCCTAGGACACCTTATCATTATCTTCCGCATGTTTGTGCTGACTCCTGTTTGCCTTGGGAGGTGTGAAACAAAGCAATGAAGCCAAGAATGTAAAGATGCTCTTGGGTTTGTTCCTTAGGGCCCTTGTGATAACAGGGAATCCCAGACTGACACAGGCTTTGTCCCAGAGAAGTTTGTGGCAGTTATAAATATTGGACTGATGACAGCTGGTTGTAACCTTTTGCTCTGCCACCTCTAGTTGTTCACTATAGATATTACTGGATTTGTTTAATACCTAGTATTATATGAAAGTCCTGCCCTTCCAGGGGCAGGAACTGTCCCTTAGTATGAGCTGTCCCAATTTTTGAATTTAATTTGACACTTTTAAGATTTCCTCAGACTTCAGTGTTCTCAACGTGCGTTTCCTATCTCACCTGAGCACTTTAACATCTGTCACTGCAAACTCTCTGTGGTGTTTTATGCTCAGTTTTAATTTTACTGATTCTTTAAACATTCAGAGGCAAATTCCCTAAACCAAGTTGTGTGAGCCATTATGTCTTCAAATGGAAACGAGCAGAAGGAGTAATTAGAGTAAAGCAAACTTAACTTCTCTGTTGCTCTGATTTTCTATGGAAGTGAATGTAACTCATCCGTGGCCTTTGCCAGTGCTTCATTGACTTGTACTGGTTGCTATGCTTGGGATTCCAGCAAAAACAGCTTTCAAAAGAGTAACAATGTATAGATGGTTATTAAGATTTTGACAAAAGCTTGCTGTGTGGTTTCCCACGCATGTAATCCTGTTCCTCAGACATTAACATGCTTGGGTCTTGCATGGACACTTAAGAATGGTAAATGTCATTCTCAGCTTTACTATTGTGTAGCTCTTCATTCCATGGCTGTAGAGAGATGATTGAAAATCCTCTGTATGTACATGCTGAAGGAATTATTTTCACTGTATACATCTGCTCTGTTTATGCAGGTTGGCTGTGGGGCTGGGAATACAGTCTTCCCAATTTTACAAACCAACAAGTAAGTAGAGACAAGACAAGAAGAAATGGCTTCCCACTGCCAGAGGGCAGGGATAAATGGGAAGAATTGTTCCCTGTGAGGGTGGGTTGCTCAGAAAAGCTGTGGCTGCTGCATTCCTAGAAGTGTCCAAGGCCAGGTTGGACAGGGTTTGGAGCACCTTGGTCTAGTGGAAGATGTCCCTGCCCATGGCAAGGGTGGGACTGGATGGGCTTTAACGTTCCTCCCAACCCAAACCGTTCTGGGATTCTGTGAAGTAATTCTCAGTAGGCTTTCACCTGCATGAGATAACAGCCTCTGAAAAACAACTGTAAAAATGTTCTATGACAATCTCTGAGAAAAGCCAAATGCAAATGGTATCTTTGTAATCTGCAGCTTCAGGTTATTGTGTTTTGAGCTTGGAAGCCCTTGGTTTTAGTCCTTTTCCTTTAGAAAAAGGAAGCAGTCTGTTCCTGTGAGAATAATGGGCATAGAGGAGCAATGGAATCCACCAGATTTGCACAAAAACTGAAGTTCAGGATTTCTGGGGTTTGTGCATTTGAAATACTCCTTAATTACTCTATATAAATGATAAGTTTCTTTGATTTATTGCAGTGACCCTGGCCTATTTGTTTATTGCTGTGATTTTTCTACAACAGCTGTGAATCTTGTCCAGGTAATCTCAATGGTGACTTATGAATATGTGGGAAGCATCTGGGGCCAATTGCCTATTAACACAAATCTATACCAGCTGCCAGTGACTCTGGCAGTGCTGGCAGCTTTCTGATTTTAGCCAGCCCTGGTGCTGACCCTTGCATTGGGAAATCTGGAAAATGAGCCATCAAAGATTGTAGAAATTAGGGAAGTAAAAGTTCTCAAAATGTCATATTGGCAGCAAACAAGTCAGCCAGGTTTTCTTTCCCTATGGTTGGCAGTACTTTTCTCAATACAGTGTTCTTTTAGCTAAGTAACTTGAAAATAAACTCAAACCTTGAAAATATTTAGGCTATTTTTTAAGAGGAACTGAAGCTGGTTTTGGTTTGTGTGTGTTACTGTCACCACAGTTCTGGGAAAATGGTCTAATTGGTTCTGCACAGTCAGCTGAGGAGGTTTGTGGTGCAAGAGGTTGGGATTTAGTCGAAGGACAAATACCACTGATACATTTCAGGTCAAGGGAGAACTGAGAATATATGAAGTATCAAATGCAATCAGTCACTTCTTGAGATGAGAGGGGAGCATAGCACCACAGCATCCATTTTGTCCGCTGGATTTGACACAAGCACTGTTTGTAGAGGCTTCTGCAATCTGTTGCAGCAGCTTTAGAAAAATATGCAATTTCTAAAAGACATCTAAATCTGGTTTTTAAGACTGAAACTTTAGGCAACCAAGTTTGATTTTTGATGTATAAGGAATATCTGCTTGTATGTGAAATGAATCTTGATTTCAATGATGCAGAGAAGTGCCCTGACACTCTCACTTATGTAAAGGTTTCAAATTTATCAGAATAAATCTCTCATTTCTTACCACTGTTAGCGGAAATTCTGACCTTAAAATTGTGATAAACCCTGGATCCAATTTTGCGGGTTTTTTCAGTGCTGATTGATTGTAACAAGACCAAAGCTCTTTGTATATCTCCTGTGTGTAAATATTTTTTCACATTTCTCATCTGTTCCTTGCCTGACCAAGGAACATACCTGACAAAGAAGTCCAGTGAGACTGAAACAGATCTCTGGACACACCTCTTGATAATGTGAAAGTTAAAATACTCCATATAATACTAATAATCCATGTAGTCCAGCTAATACTGAGATCAGAGTCTGCTACTAATGTTCTTAATTTTTCTCCCTCAAATACAGAAAAATGCAGAATACGATTCTTCTCGCTGCTTTGTGTTTGTCCATGACCTGTGCAATGACCAAAGTCCTTTCCCAATGCCAGAGGAGAGTCTTGACATTGTTATTCTTATCTTTGTCCTCTCAGCAATTCTCCCAGAAAAGTAAGTTTTAATAATTCCTTCTGATTGCAGAAGATAATTTTTCTAAAACTGGAGTGTTTTGATAATCTCCTACCAAGGAAAATTAAAATTTGTTCTATTTGTGGTCCAGTTTTCCATGAAGCCTCAGAAAATGAGGTATTGCAGGTATTTGCTGTTGTTACCAATTCTGATAGAGGACAGGGTGATTTTAAGTGACTGCAGGTGATCATTGCTGGGGTCACTGTTCTGAGCCCCAGCCACACTGAGCATTTACTTTGGAAAGTATTCTGCTGGATTTTCAGGCTCAAAGGGTAGATTAATTTCTCACATGGGAGGTAGCAAGAAGGAAGTGTTCAGGTTCAGAAAAAAGGTAAGGAAAGTTCTGTGGTCTTAGTGTGATAATTGTTACAACCTACACTAGTCTCTTCTTTTGTTCCCTTTAGTTTTACTTCACAACACTTCTCTTCAAGTTTGCTTACTACTTGTTTTGCAGAAATCAGTGGAGATCCTTTCGTAATCAGTAAGAGAGAGCAGTTAATCCCTGCTCTGGCAGGATGTTATCCTTGTAGGAAAAAAAGCATAATCGGGGAATGTCAAAAAATAGAGGCCAAATAAAATGAACCCACCTGACTCTGGGAGAGCTCAGAATGCTGCTGGCTTTGGGTAGCTCATTACATGAAGTTGAAACATACAGAACTATATTCCATCTTTTTGGAAGGAAATAAGCATGATTTTGCAGCTTGTTGAGCACTCCTGGTTTGTTTTTCTCTCAGAATGCAGTGCATTGTGACCAGACTGAGTCGCCTTCTGAAACCAGGGGGAATGATCTTGTTACGAGATTATGGCCGTTATGATCTCGCCCAACTTCGGTTTAAGAAAGGTATTTCCTTCCCCCTAGGAATTCTTGCCCCATCACTACTAGATTCTGCTTCCCTGGAGTTGTGTCTGCCATGTTTGGAGGCAGCTCATTAATTCCGTGAAGTACAGTGTGTGCTGGAGAAGGGCCTGTTGTTGTTGGATGGCAGTTGTTGATTTTTAAGTGATGACTGGTAACTGTTTATATCTCTCTTGCTCTTAGGTCAATGTCTGTCTGATAACTTCTATGTGAGAGGTGATGGCACCAGAGTCTACTTCTTCACACAAGGTAGGAGGACAGAAACATGCCTCTGACCATCAAAAAACATCTCTCTGACTCTCTTCACCACTTCTTGTCCCTGTGCCCTCCAGACTGGCCACTAGATCTTTTCAGCCTCTTTCTTAGAGCACTGTGAAATGTTAAGTATCTAACAGTGACCTGGGCTTGTCAGCTTCTGGTGCAAGCATGGCATGGTCAATTTCCTTAGTGGAAAATCCTTTAAGAAGAAGACTGGTGTGTTTGTTACCCTGGGAGGAGTGGGATTGGAGGAGCTCTCCTTGTATATTGGCTGCAGATGATGGAGAGAGATGGATGCCACCTAGCAGAACTTCCCTTAAGTTTCCTCCTCTCCTGTAAGGAAATCAGAAGGCTGTGGTACAGCATGGAGCTAAGGCAGCCCCTCCAGTTCTGCAGCTGTTTGATGTTAGCAGCAATTATTCTCCCAGTTTATCACCAGCTGCATCTCCAGTCCCTCCACTACAGGCCCCTGTGCACAGTCAGTTCTAGAGCAGTGGCACAACTGAACTGTTCTCCACTGCACAAGTCTTGTCTGGCACAAGAAAAATAATGTTTAATGCATGTTTGGCAAACACCTCACAATGGAAAGCATCTGATAAAGAAGCACAAGCTAAGACCTGTTGGACTTTTCCTACAGAAACTCCAGACGAACCATGTGCTCTGGGAGTAAGCTCTGCTGTTCAGCAGGACTGGGGCACTGTGAAACTTACTTGTTTGGTCAGGATTACCTGCCAGTGGAATTGTTGAAGCCTCAAGGGCTCTTAGTGCTTTAATTGGGCCCAAACAGGGTGTGGGGTTTAGGATTTTTTTTTTTCCCACATTTAACCATAATGAATCCCATTCCCCTCCAGCCTAGGCAGCACAGATCTAAGTGCCACTGTTTAAAAGCATAGGTCTGATCCTGTTCTTTGCTCTTTTGGACTCTGAAATTCCTCTGCACAGGGAAGAAGGAATGGCTCTGTCCCAGCTTGCCAGAAGATGCTCCTTAACTGGTTACTATGAGCAGTGCCCTTATTTGAAACTGCTCCCATTTCCTTTGTCATGTCTCTAGTTCTAGGTGTACTCCAAATAATTCTTTCCTTCTTTGCTGGAAGGAAAACTTGGAAAACTGTGATGTTAAACTCCCTTAGTAAAGTAGTTAAGTCTTGTTTGATCATTTCCCTGCTCAGATGAGACTGTGTGTTTCTTCTGGCCCATCTTTCAGCTTAGCTTTGCACTCAGTGTGAGCAGGTATCAGTTAAAGTAAAGCTGTAGTCTCCTCAGTTTCCTTCTCTTTGCTTCCAGATGAATTAGATCATCTGTTCACCACAGCTGGGCTGGAAAAAATCCAGAATCTGGTTGATCGGCGATTGCAAGTGAACCGTGGGAAACAGATGACAATGTATCGGGTGTGGATCCAGTGCAAGTACTGCAAACCCACCACCCTTCAGCCATGAGGCATGTGGACTTTGGACTGGAGCCTCTTCATCTCCTCCTGGTGACCTGTGTGGTGCAGTTCTGCACACCCAGGACCTCAGTGCCTTGTACCATGCCTGGCATCACTTAAAGTGAGTTTTTCTAAGGACGAATGCCCTGCAAGTAGAGCAAGAATTTTAGATGTCATAGAATCACAGAATACACTGGGTTGGGAAAGACCCATGAAGATCAAGTCCAACTCCTGGCCCTGCACAGGACACCCCAACAATCCCACCCCATGCCTGAGAGCGTTGTCCAAACACTCCTTGAGTTCTGGAAGCTTTGGGGCTATGACCCATTCCCTGAGGAACCTGTTCAGTGCCTAACTCCCCTTTGTGGGAAGAACCCTTTCTTGATATCCAGCCTAACCCTCCCTGGACACAGCTCCAGCCATTTTCTCGAGTCCTGTCCCTAGTCAGGAGAGTGAAGAGATTGGTTCCTGCCCCTCTGCTGTCCCTCAGGAGGATGTTGAAGATCCCAGTGAAGTCTGACCTCAGTCTCCTGTTTTCCAGCTGAACAGACCAAGTCCTTATACAGCTTCCCCTCAAGGCCCTTCACCATTCTCATGGCCATTCTCAGGATGGTCTCTAGTGGCTTAATGTCTTTTTTATATTGTAGTGCCCAAAACTGCACATAGCACTTGAGGTGGGGTTGCCCCAAAGCAGAGCAGGACAAACCCCTGCCTGACCAGGAATGCTTTACCTAATGCCCCAGGACACAGATGTCCTTCCTGGCTGCCAGGGCACTGATGACTCATGTTCAACTTGCCATGGATCAGGACTCCTGAGTCCCTTCCTGCAGCTGTTCTCAGCCTCATTCCCCAGTCCACCCACACATCCAGGCTTGCCCCTTCCCATATGCAGAATCCAGCACTTCCCCTTGTTGAACTTCCCATGATTGGTGATTGCCCATATCTCTGATTTGTCAAGGTTTCTCTGGAAGCCCTCTCTGCACCTGAGACACTTGACAGCTCCTCCCAGTTCACTGCAAACAGCAAACTTCCTTAGTACTCCTTCACGTTCTGCATCCAGGTCATTAATGTGGATGTTGAAGAGCACAAGCTTGAGAAGGGAGCCCTTTAAATGTTATGCTACTGGTCTGAATTTTAAAAATTATTTATGGTTTTAACCTAAGAGATGGTATCTTACAGCAGCTGAGCAAGTTGAGTAGCAACTGTCTCATACTCTAGATTTCCACATGAAATAGGAAAGCTCTGACCTTATCTCTGTCTTGTGTACTTTTGTCTTGGCAACAAACATACAAAGGATAAACCTGCTCTTCTCTGGAATGGCTCATTGATATGAATCCCTTGGCCAGCTTATCTTATGCAGCTGTTTCCTAGTCATTCAGGTGTGTGCCAATCCAGGAGTTAAAATACATTGATCTGAGGGCAGGAACTGAGACAACATGAGTCTCTCTGTACCAGCTTTCCGTGGATGATTCAAGGTGTGGAGATGACCTGTGGAGAAAGGAAATTATGCTGCTCTGCCCTCACTGTCCACAAGGATGTCCTCCCAGGGAACCACTAAACAATAGCTCAGGCAGTGTTCAGGTTTTCAAAAGTTCAGTGCTGATGCTGATTTTAGGGCACCTTCAGAGTCCAGCAGATTAGAAGCAGCTAACAGGACCAGGGTTTATAAATAATTACCTGCTTTTCCTAGTGGCTGCAGCTCCCAGGTCACAAACCACCCTTCCATGGTGATGTGCTAAACCAAAACACGAGACACTTTCTTTGATCTGAAATCTGCAGGAAGTTTAATTTTTGCACCCTTGTTTAATTTCTTAAGATTAAGCCAACACTAACTTCCAGAAGGTATTTTCCTGACTTTGACAACAAGTATCTCTTACCTTAGCTTGTTTTCTTCTGTTATTTTTAGGTTGTGGTACAACAGGTATTAGAATAAGTTTTGTGCTTTTCAGTGATTGTTTGATTAATGTAAATCAGGCTTTGCAAAAACTGTAGCAATGGGGAACAAAGTGACACAGACCCCCTTATGCATCCAAAAGAGATTGCTTTATTGTAGAAATCACCCTTTTTTATACAATCTCCACCTGACATAATTGAAACCAAACCAAGCCCTAACAGAACTTAACAGAAGAAGGGCACCCATTGGTTGGCTCAGCTGCAGTGCTGCTGTCCATACATCCATACCCAATCACCTTCCTGCTCATACACTGTCCTTACCACCACCTCACTTCCCGCTGTCACTCAGCTGCCTCTCCCCTCACTCATGGCTGCCTCTCACCCCTCAGCCAGCTTCCAACCATGCAGCCTGCAGCTGTGCCTTTCCCACAGGGCCTTCTGGTGAGCATTAGCCTTAGCAACTTTCATAATTATACCCCCATATCCCACATCTTCCCCTGTGTTTTTTTTAATCAGGCAACAAAAACCTAAACAACTCCTAAAAATATTAATAACAGTGACAACAATAATAACTATAAAAACTTTTCAAAAACTGTAACGTGTTTATAACATAGCAACTATATGCATTTAGAATCAGGATAGTACAACAAAAGGTTGCACGCACTGTGATGGAATCCTCTCCACCTCGTGGCCTGTGGCGACACAGGCATAACCTCCTCCCCATGTGATTAAGTCCAGGAGTCTTTTCCATTGTCCAGTTAATTTACCATTAAATTTTTATTTACCAAAGTCCTTTACCATTACTGGAGGTCTTAGATGAGCCTTTGTGTTGAAGGAATACTGTCTTTCGCATGCAGTTTGTCCCATCTCATCCCAATTTAAAAACCTGAGGACATACAAGGCTTTAGCTAGTCTGCCATGAGGGCACTGCAACTCCCCCTCTTTTTGTTTTTCAGGCATCGTTTTTAGGGTTTTATGGGCATGCTCTGCAATAGCTTGCCCTGTGGGAGAGTGGGGAATGCCCATATGGTGAGATACACACCATTGCTGCAAGAAGTTACCAACTCGCTCTTAGGTGTAGGCAGGTCTATTGACGGTCTCAGGAAGGCCCAGAGTTTTGATGGTGTTGGGAAGGCCCAGAGTGGGGAAACAGGTGAGCCAGTGCCTGATAGTATCACAGGCCTTCTCTCCAGTATAAGAAGTTGCCATTAGGAAATGGGAATAGGTGTCAATAGAAACATGAACATATTTAAGATTAGCAAACTCTGGGATATGGGTAATACCAGTTTGCCAAATGGAGTTAGCTATTAAACCTTGAGCTTAGTACCTTCTCCTAAAGGAGCAGGAGCAATCCCACTACAGAGGGGCAAGACAATAGCATATCACGAGCTTAGGAGGAGGTCAATTGAAATTGTTTGTAAAGAGAACAAGCATTCTGATGGAAAAAGTAATGAGATAGCTGGGCATGAGCAAAAGTATTTGGTACCACACCTGTCATAACAGTAATATTTGCCTAATTACTACCTTCTGCAATAGGCCCAGGTAAACCTGTGTGGGAGCAAACATGTAACACAAAATCATGCTGCTGGCTGTTAATCGAAATCAACAGTGTTAACTCTGTAAACAAAAGATGGTTATTAACATGCTTTAAATAGGAAGATTCTAAATGGAATGCAACATTGGCAGCATATGAGGAATCAGTTACAATGTTAAGTGGTTCTTGTGAAAATAACTGAAAGTCATATTGGATAGCAGCCAATTCTAAAATTTATACAGAAGCATCTTTTAATATTAATACCCTCTTATGCCACTGGGCAGAGTCACCTCCATGCCAAATCACTGCAGTTTTGTTAGTTTTGCTGGATGCATCTGTAAAAACAGTTGGTCCGTTGACAGGGGTCATGCTGCAGTGACGCTTTGCATACAAGGGGAGATTACCCGTATTTGTCCATAAACAACCTGAGGGATAATGGATAGATAATTGTCCAGAAAAATTTGCAAGTGCAATTTGAAAAATACTGCCTTCTAATAGTAACCCTGCCAAATTTCTTGCCATGTCTTTACTTGCAGGTGTGTAAATGGTACATGGATCTTGGCCATTGAGAATTTGTTGTCACTCTTTGCCTTTCTTAATTAAATATGAGAACATATCATTAACAGTCCACACAGTCTTTGTTGCTGTGTGAGGTTAGAATAACCATTCTAACACATGTAAAGGGTCTTTATCATTAACAAACCATTGAAAGAAAATGGCAAAAGGTTGACATTTGCTAGCAATTATAACAAGGTACACAGATTTATCAGGATCCCACCTCCAATTGTGTTGGTTTTCTAGTACTTGAGCACAGTGTGAAAAGGCAGTTTTAGCTTCTGGGGTCAGCTGTCAAAGCAAAGGCAGGTGGGGGTTTCCTCTGAGTAAGTCAAATAAAGGGTGTAAAAGTTCTGTAGAGACCCAAAACAGGATGCAACCAATTCAAGGAACCTAGCAGTTTCTGTAATTAATTTAAAGTTAGGGTGTCTTTAACACAAAGCCTTAAAGGCTGAGGGCTGATAGTCTGCAGAATAATTCTCCACCCCAGATAATGCCATGGAGACTCACATTGCAGCTTTCAAGTGCCATGATGAGTCCTGCATGACAGCTACCTGAATAGAACATAAGATGGATTGATCATGAGCTTCGAGTAAAATGTCATCCATAATTGATACATGGTTGCAGCCGGAAATTTACGATAAACAGGCTGTAGGACAAGATTAACTACCCTTTGGCATGTAGTTTGATTGTTACTCATGCTTTGTGGCAACACAGTCCAATGAAATATCTTCATTGGTTATGCATGATTCAGGGTAGGCACAGAAATGGCAAACTGAGGTACATTATCAGGATATAAAGGGATGATGAAAAAAACATCTTTTAGGTCTAAAATTACTAAGAGCCAGTCTTAAACAAAGATTCCCCTTAGGGAATCATTGTGGATGATGGAAGCCCAGGCTGCAGAGCCCCCAGAGGTTCAATAACTGCATTTGCTGCCCATACATCCTCCAATAATCACCACTTGCCATTTTGCTTAGGTATACAGAATATAGGGGTATTCCAAGGGCTAGAAGGTGGGCAGATATTGCCTAAGTACAATTGCTCTTCCATAAGCTGTTTTAAATTTAGTAACCATTCCTTTCATAGGGGCCATTGGTCGATCCAAACAGGGTCTTCAGTCCACCATGTGAGTTTGCATATGTCCAGTATTTGATTTTGGAATGGCTGCTCAGTGGCCCCTATGAAAGAAAGTTCTCCAGTGAGGTTGAGTCTCTTTGTATGGTTGTTCCAAATTGTCCCAGAACATCTCTTCCCCATAATGTGCATGGTATAGAGGCAATGAATAGGGCAATTCAGGCAGTTTGCCCATCAGAGCCAAGGACAAGCCAAAGGTGAGTGCTAGGTCTAGGGCACTGCATTCCTCCCACCCCAGTTAGGGTCAGTGTGAGGCTGATTGTGGGCCAATTACTAGGCCATTCATTGCTTTTAATAATAGAGACATCAGCTCCAGTATCAACAAGCCTTTTAAAATATTTGCCATCTATACTGCAAGTTAAGGTTGGGTGAACTGTTGTAATAGAGTTTGTCCAGAACGCCTGTGGCTAACCTGTGCTACCAAAGTTACTTGTGCAACATTAACCCTTGCCAGTAGGTGTTTTGTTGGAAAAGGGAATAAGTTGTGCTGTACATTGACCTGCAGGTATAAAGCAGGGTGGCTCGGCAGTGCATAGCACAATTTGTATTTCGCCTTCATAATCTGAATCAATAACTTCAGGTAGTACAAAATGTCCCAATTTGAGTAGCAGAGGAACACCCTATTAGCAAAGCATGGATGTTATTACCAAGGAGTCCCCACACTCCAGTAGGAACTAAGTGCACTGAAAATGTCCTAAGAGTTACTGATTCTCTGGAGGCAAGGTCCAGCCCTTTACTGCCTGTGGTTGCAGGCAGGAACTTGCTTGTCAAATATTTTGCCTTGCATTTTTTTGATTCTCTGGGATGTGCAAACCTGCCCCCCGCCAGAAGCTTCCTGGCTGTGTAGCCTTCCCTTTTACAGGGCACTGGGAGCAGCATTCAGCAGCCCAATGTTTCCCTCTTCCACACCAATGACAATCTCTAGGTGATATTTTTATCCTGTCCCTTTGTTGTGGGCAACCCTTTTTAAAATGACCCATTGAACTGCATTTAAAACAACCCCCTGCCTGCATGTCCAAAACTTGAAAGAGTTCGGCTAAAGCTGATGCTTAAGAGTTAGTATTATAAGCAGTAGTTCCCACATTTTGGCATGTTCTAACCATATCTGCTATGTCACAAGTATGTGGGTTGTGAACAGCAAGCAATGGCTTTCTAGGCATATCTTCATGAAGGAAGAATGTCTTCGTTCACATTGGTGAAAGCAAGCTGCCACAACAGAATAACTCTGGCTTCATTATTATCAACTTGCCAGGAGAGTGCGGCTTGTCCAGTAATTCTATCCAGGAATTACACAAACTACTCTGCTGGACCCTGTAAAATCTTAGTGGACAACATGTTAGAATGGGTACCCGTCCCCGGGAGTTGCTGCAGCGCTTGCAAAGCTAGGTGGGTGATGATATCATACACATCACGCAGGCGGCCTGCCTGCGCTGTAGGGACTACAAAAGCACCTTCTCTGGTCAGCTGTGCATCACAATTGATGGATTTCTTTCTCACAGCACTTCCACCTGGATTGTACACAGTTCTCAGTAATTGGTTAGCCAGACTGCAGACTCCATTGCTGTTAGAATCATTTTCATTATGCTTTTCCAGTCATGAGGTATGAGGACAAACAGTTCTGATAGACTGATAGCGTAGGGCATGTTGGGAAGATATGCTGCTTTCTTTTACTAGCATCCTCAGTTCTTTAATTACTTTATAGTCTAGCTCTTGGTAGGTTGGTGTTATTTTGGCGCATATATTACTAGGCAGGCTGTAACAACTGCCAAGGCGCTCTCCTTCATGGCAGCTTCCCTGCATTTCTGCCAGTGCTGGACTACTGCATTGCCATTTTGGACAGGGAGAGAACCCATCACCCACCTGTGGCGTGGGAATTCTGCACTGAGAGGATCACCTATGCAAGGATTTCCGTTAGGGTAAGGCAATTCCATGGGGCTTGGGTTAATCTCGCAGTAAGGCAATTCTGTAGAGTATGGGTTAATCTCAGGGTCATATACAGGCACTAGTGGCTCTGAAGGTTTGGGGAAATTAACTTCTGAAGCTTCATAATGGCTGCCATTCATGCAATTTACTTTAAAGGCCACCATGTGGCCAGGCACTCACAATCTTCAGCATAGCCATCTTTGGTAGTATCAAAAAGTCTCTGCCTGCCCCACCACTTGCCAGTCTGACTGAAGGGACCCCATTAAAGAGAAAATCTTTAGCATGATTAGACCCAGTCCAGCAGGGTGCTCAGTTTTGCATATTTGCATCAGTCATATTAGTAGATTGCTGATGTAGGAGCCACCATACCCAGACTAAGCTCCTGCTTTGTTCCAGGGGATTCCACCTCCCATATTCTTTCTACAGGTATACTCACCTATGGTACGTGAGGTGCGCACACTTTTGATTCTTGAGTTCTTCCCCAAACTCTCACAGATTATTTTCCCCAGATCCCTTCCCAGACTCTTTGCAGCTGGCCCATCCCTTGAGCCAGTGGGAGTTGCTACCAGAGCGATAACACACCCTGCACCACTTTAAAGGTCCCCATTCAGGCCAGCCATTCTGTAGCAATGGAGAACAA